CTTCTTGGTCAAATCGATAAGAGGTCGCGCTATATCCGAGTAGTGAGAGACGAAGGTTCGATAGAAGTTACAAAATCCTAGAAAGGAGCGAACTTCTTTTACTGATCGAGGGACAGGCCAGTCTCGTATTCCATTTGTTTTGTCTTTGTCCATTTCTACGTGCCCCGGTTTAATGATCATGCCCAAATATTCCACTTCTTGAGAGTCAAAGGTACACTTTTCCGGTTTCAAGAACAACTGTTCTTGACGGATTTTTCCTAAAATAATACGAGTTCGTGTTTGATGTTCTTCGATCGTGGTGGAAAAGATTAGGATATCATCCATATAGATAACCAGCCATCCTTCGTTAAGTTCCGTTCGGAAAGTGCTATCCATATAGGCTTGGAACGTGGCGGGAGAATTGCATAATCCGAAGAACATAACCGTTGGTTCAAACAATCCTTCTTCAGTGATAAATGCTGCTTTCCATCTATCTTCGGCATGGATGCGAATATTGTTATATCCAGATCTGATATCCATTTTAGTGAAGAATTTAGCACCATGTAATCATTCGACCAAAGATGAAGGAAGTGGAAGGGGATACGCATTCTTTATCGTCTGGTCGTTAAGGAAACGATAGTCCTGACATGGGCGAAGTTCTCCGCTCTTTTTTCCTACAAAGAAGAATCCGCTTGCCTGTGGGGATTTTGATTTGACGATAAATCCTTTGGCCAGGTTATCAGCGATAAATTTTTTAACCGCGAGTCGCTCGTTGTGGGAAAGAGGATAAATCTTGGATGTTTTTGGAATGAAACTAGGCTTTGTTTCTATCCAATGATCGATACCGGGTCTTTCTGGGGGGAGTTGATTTAGACCATCTTTTGCAAATATATCTGAGAAGTCGTGGAGGTAGGAAGGGACTAGTTCTTCGAAGGTTTTCTTTTGTTTGACTTTTTCTTCGGATGCGAATTCTTGAGCTTTATTACTATATTTTGGTGTTTCGTTTGGTATTTCTTCTATTCTTTTGAGATATTCTCCGTTATCCATAAGAGCTTCAGGGGATACCGGCGAAGTTGTCCATATGTCTTCTTTGGTGTTGAATTCTTTGAAGAACATTTTCTTTGGTCTTGATGTTTCTTTTACGTACTTTTCTACTTCAGTAGATTTCTCCGTTGCAGGGAGGGAAAGAGTCTGACTGGCCCAGTCAATAGATGGGTTCATCGCTCTGAGCCAGGGGATTCCTAAGAGAATTTGATCTTTAGTTCCTAATTTTGTGATATTGAACTTTCCGATCATCATTCGCCCATTGATTTTGATGATGAGCATACAGTATCGCTCCACTGGTCCACTACTAAAGTAGCTTCCATCTGCGGTTCTGATAAAGAACAGTTTTTCCAGTTTCTTGGTTCGGATCTTGTGCTTCTTTACAAAGTCTTCGGAGATATAGGTTCCGGCTGCTCCGGAATCGATTACTGCATTGGTTTCGACATTTTCTGGACGTGTTTGCGAGACGAGGGTGATTGGGATACGCAGTTCTTTTCTTTCACCTATTGCTTGTATTACACGAATTGGTTCTTCTGGAGATACTACCGTCGACGTAGACCTCCTCTTCAAAAATCCTCGTTGATTTGTCTTGCTTCTTCTTCCTTTTCTTCTACTTGTCGAATGGGTGGGGAAGATCCATTCTTTTTCTGAGGACATTCCCTAGCACGATGCCCGATTTGATGGCAGTTGAAACATTTTCCGATCCGCATGTGCTCCTGCTTTTCGGCTTCGGTAAGCCTACTGATTCTGTCAATTACCATGGCGTCTCTGTCCCTGGCGGGGACAAATCGTTGATCCCCAAATCTTCTTTTCTTTTGTTGGGGAAAAGAACTCACCCTGATAGATTGGAGTCGCATATAGCAGTTATCCATATCTACAACTGCGGCGATATAGTTGTCTAGGTTCTTTGGAACTCCCCCAGCATTGAATATCTTGGTAAGGAGTCCGGTGTTCAGCCCATTCTGGAAATGGAATATTTTCATGTGTTCTTCTTTGATTTTTGCTTGTGCGAGGAGTCTTTGGAAGTCCGCAATGTAGCTTTGCAATTCTCTGTTGCCTTGTTTGAGGTGAATGATTCTTGCTAAGGCAGTTCCGGAAGGATCAATAGCTCCAAAAGCTTTATCGAATACTTCCATGAATTCTTTCATCGTTCCATATCCTTTCTTTTGTCCAGAGGAGTCGATGTGTTGGGCGTCCGTCAGGAATTCTTCTTTCCATAGCAGGGCATTTCCTTTATTCATGAACGAGGCGATAAAAATGACGTGTTGCTTGTCGGTTTTGTATAACTCCTCGTTAATGTCCATGTATGCATTGCAGGATAGGATAAAAGATTTAGACTTCTCTCGATCTCCATCGAAGATGGGCGGATGATTAATCTTGTATTCAAATAGTTTTGATGGAGACGACATATTCAGTGGTGGTACGGGGGTACTGAGATTAAGGGCTTGGAAGGTGGGAGTGAGTGAAGTCAGTTTGTCATTTCTTCTTTGCCTGCACTAGCTGTCTTGCTCAGCCAGGGCTTGTCTGTTCTTCTGTTTCTTTTCTTCGGAACACGTGTGGATACAGGTGTCCTTTGAAAGACTTGAATTTTTTGTTACGAACTGGGTAGTTCTAACAACAGCGACTCGACAGAGTTTCTAGCTGCTGAGTTTTCGTGAAGTCCTTCAGAAAAGAAGGGGGTTCTATAAAGACTTAGTCAAAGGAATGCTTCGACTAAGAATGCTAGTTCAGAGGACTTAAGATTGGAGGTCTTAAGCGAAGGAAGTTCTGGTAAAACCTAGTAAGATTCAAGTGAAGTTCTACAAGGCTAATACATGTGCTTAAATAAGTCAATATGTGCGCACAGACCAAGGTAGTCGTGAGATATAAGTACATAGTCCAAGAAAGGTAAGTGATCATAAATGAAAAGCGTACTATCGGACAAAGAGAACAGAGAAGCAAAAGAAAAGCATGATTGTAACAGTATCTACTCGAAAACTATGTGAGCACCTGAACATTCCTGAAACTGTTCTCCCTTTCTGCTTAAGATCCGCTTTCATGCTCGCATCCAAGGTCATCTGTGACGACACTTACTCCTTCCCCACTGCTGGATCTTCAGGTGACCATCTCTTCATATCTACTTTCATGCTTGCATCCAAGGTCATCTGTGACGACACTCCTTTCCCACTGCTCAGGGGTCTTCATGTCACCATCTTTTCCTATCTACTTTCATGCATGCATCCAAGGTCATCTATGACAACACTCCTTTCCCACTGCTCAGGGATCTTCATGTCACCGTCTTTTCATATCCGCTTTCATGCTCACATCCAAGGTCATCTGTGACAACACTTGTTCCTTCTAGTGGTGGTCAGGTCCGGTTCTGAACTGCAGTTCAAACCCGGACCGTTTCGAACCTGACCGAGGGTCCGGTTCAAGGTTCGGGAAATAGGGGGAACTGGACCATTGGTCCAGTCCATGGTTCGAGGACTTCCAGAATTCCAGAACCGGTTCTGAACCTGTTCGAACCTGTTCGAACCGGCGGCAAGTCAGTACATATTTTTAGTGTAGTACTATTAATAATAGGGCGTAGATCTAATTCTATAATTGACAGACCTAATGTAACCGGCAGAACACGGTAGGCTATTCTTAACGACGACCTCGATGTTGCCTCATCATCCGTTATCCTCGTCAGTGCCCTCGATGTTGCCTCGTCCGCGTCATCCATCATCTCTCTGCAAGTCTTGGATATCCCTCTGGCGCCTCTCCTTTTACCACACCAGGAGGCACCAACACCATCTGCGACTCCGGCACCTTGACAACGCCACTTTGGACTCTCATTCAGATTCTCAAATTTCAATCAATGACTTTCAGGTAATTTATCAACTAATTTACTGATTGACATTTCCTGAGCTTTTTTCGATTGATAGGTGCAGCTTAAAGTTGGGTTGTGTGATTTACATGGTGAGCTGATCTGTCATTTTCCCGCCTACAATCATGTCTGACCAGTGCGCTGTTGGTCCTGACAGCCATCTAAAAGATGCTTCCGAAATCGTATGGCACAATGACCCAGACAACGAGGAGCCTATATCTGCCCCTGGTCCCATTGCAGCAAGTTCTACTCCTCCAGTGCACCATTGTTTGTCTATTGGCGACGTAGTTATGTGCTGACTCATTTAAATAGTTTAATGCATACTATGTCCCCAGCGCCTCAGCACCTGCAGGTGAAAACACCGAGCAGGAACCTGCTGGACATGGCCAATATGGCCGTTCATGGGTCCTTGCGGCTGTGCAAGCCCGTCAAGTGTCTGATCGTGTGCAGGCTAAGCCTCGTGCTGAACTTACAGCATACCTTCAGAGTCCCCTTGAGCAAACTGAAGACATTGTACGTTGGTGGGGTGTAAGTTTCTATTTTGTTGCAAGTCCTTTTGTATCTAACTAGCTTATTTTATTGCAGCATCACCAATCATTATATCTGACACTTTCGCGCATGGCCAGAGACTATCTGGCTATTCAGGGTAGTAGTACCGCATCGGAGCGCGCTTTCTCAAGTGGGGGGCTTACAGGAACAAAACGACGGAACTGTCTTAAGGAGGATGTATTCGAGAGTTTGCAGCTGCTGAAGAGTGCCTATCGTAATGGTCACATCTCGGCTGCTAGCGATGCTGAACAGCATCTGGATTCATTGACTGCTGCATTACATGACGAAGATGACAAGGATGTTGCGCTAGTTTAGTTTATTGGACTTTTGTACCTAGCTACATTTAAACATTTTGACATTTTTTTTTGGGTCCGGTTCTCGGTTCAAACCTCTGCTGAACCAGAACTGGACCATTATTGGACCGAACCGATGGTCCGGTCCATGGTTCTGCTTACTAGGAGAACCGAACCGATGGTCCGGTCCACGGTTCTCCTAATTTCCTGGAGAACCAGACTTTTCCATCACTAGTTCCTTCCCCACTGCTGAATCTTCATGTCACTGTCTTTTTGTATCTGCTTTCATGCTCACATCCAAGGTCATCTGTGATGACACTTACTTCTTCCCCACTGCTGGATCTTCATGTCACCGTCTTTTTGTATCCACTTTCATGCTCGCATCCAAGGTCATCTGTGACAATACTCACTCCTTCCCCACTGCTGGATCTTTATGTCACCATCTTTTTGTATCTGCTTTCATGCTTGCATCCAAGGTCATCTGTGACGACACTTACTCCTTTCTCACTGCTCAGAGATCTTCATGTCACCATCTTTTCCTATCTACTTTCATGCATGCATCCAAGGTCATCTGTGACAACGCTTATTCCTTCCCCACTGCTGAATCTTTATGTCACCATCTTTTTGTATCTGCTTTCATGCTTGCATCCAAGGTCATCTGTGACAACACTTACTCCTTCCCTACTGCTGGATCTTCAGGTGACCATCTTTTCATATCCGCTTTCATGCTCGCATCCAAGGTCATCTGTGACAACACTCACACCTTCCCCCCTGCTCAGGTGAGTTTGCCTTCCCGACACTGATCAGTGTGCCAAATTGTCTCCAAACAGTGTATATTGTATCATAACACTTGCACAACAAAATATTCAAACCTTCTGTAAGAAATGAAGACATAGACATACTTGTTGACAATGCAGGATCATTTCATTTCTATATACCAAAATGATTTGTGATGATTTGTATGTGCTAGAGCAAAAGCACGAACTTGTGGGTACATCTAGTACTATATAACTTCGACCTTAGGTTCATGGGAATTTCTGTGCTGCATTACATGATAGTTTTGTGACAGGTTTGTCTCTTGTGGACAGCTGTGGCAAACTTACAATAAGTTCTAGGGCTGCACACTGTCTCTGTAATAGACAGTTTGTATGGCAACCGTCGAAGGATACAGTTGCCATACCGGCAGGCCTGCAAAGGGAGACAGACAGGTATGGTGTACGGCCAAACCGTACACCATACAAGCCATATTACATACAGCCTATATGGTCGGAATGGGTGCCAATTTATCCCATACCTTCTTGCCCTGAACCGCCATGCTCTGCACCGACAACAACAACAACAGTGACGTCTCTGATGGTTTGCTGTGTGTGCTTCATACTGATGGAAGCAGCACTGTCAGTATGTTCCTTATAATATTGTCTGACCGCGATACTAATTCTCCCTAACTATGTATGGTCCACCTTTTAACTCTGCCAGTGTTATTGCTGTTGTCATGGTATCCTACACTGCTTATTCATAGGCTCTCTGTTCTGTGCATTGGATTATCCTTTCCCGCAGTGTGCGACATTCATCTGAAAAGTCTTGTGCCGCTGTTGTCCACCATATGTGGTTCCCCATGCTACCTCAGGTTGCCCATTTCCTACAATGCACTTTCTTACTTTCAATGTCATTCATTGCGCTTCAAATTCTCCAGTTGTTGGCTCTTGTGATCTTTCTTTAAGCACTGTGGTCATTGTGGTTCATGCACTGAGCTGTTTGCAGGCTGTGTGTGGTTGGATGGTGAGTTGATTACGGTGACTCACAACAAGGTGTCCATGTCATCATCTCTTCTTGTCTTTCAGGCATCCGATCAGATCTATCACATTGTGCTGCATCAGTTGACTTCTTACCAATGTTATGATGTGGTGACATCTGCATCATTACCCTGCTTGTTTCCGGGAAAGCCTCACCATAATAAAAATCGCAGACAGTTTCCCCTGTGACCTCTTTTATGCAACGACTTTCAACAGATTTCAAGGGCTGACGCTTGAAAAAGCCATGCTTGACCTGCGCACATATTCGTTCACACACAGACAGCTATACACCGCGCATTCAAGAGTATGACATTGCTGAGACATTCGAACAATATTTCCAAGAGAAGAAGAGGAAAAAACAACAGCAAACGTAATGTCGGAAGGTGAATAAAGCGCTTGTATGTACTATACATAAACCTATGTAGGTGCAAGTCTCAAGCCTGAGACTATCAGAATGTTGATGCTTGTGAAGGCAAGACTTCATTTGGCTCGTTTATAACTGATTTTCATTCTGTATGTACCGTACACTGGCACTACTGTATACGGCCATATTATACTCCATACTGTACTGTTCGCTTTGTCTGCCCCCAATGTCATATACAGTGTATGGGTTCACCATCTACCATATCTCTACTGTATGTGTACAGCTGTCTACCATATACGGTACAGTGTGCAGCCCTAATAAGTTCACAAGGGTTCATATGTAGTAGGATAATATATAGTGATGGAAAAGTCTGGTTCTCCAGGAAATTAGGAGAACCGTGGACCGGACCATCGGTTCGGTTCTCCTAGTAAGCAGAACCATGGACCGGACCATCGGTTCGGTCCAATAATGGTCCAGTTCTGGTTCAGCAGAGGTTTGAACCGAGAACCGGACCCAAAAAAAAATGTCAAAATGTTTAAATGTAGCTAGGTACAAAAGTCCAATAAACTAAACTAGCGCAACATCCTTGTCATCTTCGTCATGTAATGCAGCAGTCAATGAATCCAGATGCTGTTCAGCATCGCTAGCAGCCGAGATGTGACCATTACGATAGGCACTCTTCAGCAGCTGCAAACTCTCGAATACATCCTCCTTAAGACAGTTCCGTCGTTTTGTTCCTGTAAGCCCCCCACTTGAGAAAGCGCGCTCCGATGCGGTACTACTACCCTGAATAGCCAGATAGTCTCTGGCCATGCGCGAAAGTGTCAGATATAATGATTGGTGATGCTGCAATAAAATAAGCTAGTTAGATACAAAAGGACTTGCAACAAAATAGAAACTTACACCCCACCAACGTACAATGTCTTCAGTTTGCTCAAGGGGACTCTGAAGGTATGCTGTAAGTTCAGCACGAGGCTTAGCCTGCACACGATCAGACACTTGACGGGCTTGCACAGCCGCAAGGACCCATGAACGGCCATATTGGCCATGTCCAGCAGGTTCCTGCTCGGTGTTTTCACCTGCAGGTGCTGAGGCGCTGGGGACATAGTATGCATTAAACTATTTAAATGAGTCAGCACATAACTACGTCGCCAATAGACAAACAATGGTGCACTGGAGGAGTAGAACTTGCTGCAATGGGACCAGGGGCAGATATAGGCTCCTCGTTGTCTGGGTCATTGTGCCATACGATTTCGGAAGCATCTTTTAGATGGCTGTCAGGACCAACAGCGCACTGGTCAGACATGATTGTAGGCGGGAAAATGACAGATCAGCTCACCATGTAAATCACACAACCCAACTTTAAGCTGCACCTATCAATCGAAAAAAGCTCAGGAAATGTCAATCAGTAAATTAGTTGATAAATTACCTGAAAGTCATTGATTGAAATTTGAGAATCTGAATGAGAGTCCAAAGTGGCGTTGTCAAGGTGCCGGAGTCGCAGATGGTGTTGGTGCCTCCTGGTGTGGTAAAAGGAGAGGCGCCAGAGGGATATCCAAGACTTGCAGAGAGATGATGGATGACGCGGACGAGGCAACATCGAGGGCACTGACGAGGATAACGGATGATGAGGCAACATCGAGGTCGTCGTTAAGAATAGCCTACCGTGTTCTGCCGGTTACATTAGGTCTGTCAATTATAGAATTAGATCTACGCCCTATTATTAATAGTACTACACTAAAAATATGTACTGACTTGCCGCCGGTTCGAACAGGTTCGAACAGGTTCAGAACCGGTTCTGGAATTCTGGAAGTCCTCGAACCATGGACTGGACCAATGGTCCAGTTCCCCCCTATTTCCCGAACCTTGAACCGGACCCTCGGTCAGGTTCGAAACGGTCCGGGTTTGAACTGCAGTTCAGAACCGGACCCGGCCACCACTAATAATATATGTACTTTCTACACATATATAGTTCAAAAATGACAATGGGGATGGAAAAAGTGGTTAAGTGAATGTTTTCATAAAAAAAACATATCTAAAAACAAACATATCATACTATCCATCCCAGCTGAGTCATCACCCCTACAAGTCATCACTACCTACATATCTCACTCAATTCTTGCTTCCACACATAATTTACAACTTAAATCACTATTTCTAATTTGTACTGTTCATTGCGAGGTTGAACTACTGATTTTCACGAAGAAATGGTGAAGCCCTTTGAAAGCAGCCAAAGTCCTGCAAGATTTACACTGGTGACAGCCAGCCGAACGTTGCCGTGGCGGAGCTTTAAATGGATACTACGACTGGCTGTGACAACTTGTCAGACTCGGAGATAGCCGCCATCTGGGTCGGATGCACTGCCGAGCGGGCTTAGAAATGGCAGCTGTGACCAACTGTGACACAAGTGTTACTTGACGGGTGACGACCCAGCTGGGATGGATAGTATGTACTTTATTGCTACTTACTACACCTGCTTACTATAGCGTGCTACGCCCCTCCATCTTCTTCAACACAACACCTACCTTCAAGTTCCACTGAAAAAGTAAGTGTATTGGTCCTCCTTTAAGCTCGAGCCATGCTGATCCAAGCTGTTGCCCAGTGTTTGCAGTGAGTGAGTCTGTCGATCCTAGTTCGAGTTTGAGCCATGCTGATCCAAGCTGTTGCCTGGCGTTCGCAGTGGGTGAGTCTGTCGTTCCTCATTCGAGTTTGAGCCACGCTGATCCAAGTTGTTGCCCACGGTTCGCAGTGGGTGGGTCTGTCGATCCTTGTTCGAGTTTGAGCCGTGCTGATCCAAGTTGTTGCCTGCAGTTTGCAGTGAGTAAGTCTGTTGTTCCTTGTTCGAGTTTGAGCCACGCTGATCCAAGTTGTTGCCTGTGGTTCGCAGTGAGTGGGTCTGTCGATCCTCGTTCGAGTTTGAGCCGCGCTGATCCAAGTTGTTGCCCGCAGTTCGCATTGAGTAAGTCTGTCGTTCCTCATTCAAGTTTGAGCCACACTGATCCAAGTTGTTGCCCGCAGTTCGCAGTGAGTGGGTCTGTCGATCCTCATTCGAGTTTGAGCCGCGCTGATCCAAGTTGTTGCCCGCGGTTCACAGTGAGTGAGTCTGTCATTCCTCATTCGAGTTTGAGCCATGCTGATTGAAGTCGTTGTCTGCCACTCGCAGTGTGTCGATCCTCATTCGAGTTCGAGCCATGCTGGTCGATGCTTGCCTGTTCCTCCATTCCTCTCATTCTGGCGTATTCCCTAAGGTCACTGATGCCTTCATTCAAACTGAGGGACAAGGAACGTCGTGGGCAGGGTAAGCTCAGCTAATTCAATCTGCGATTCTAACCTCATATGCTCATTATACTCAAAAAGATATCTTACATATTATAAATGTGTGGTCGCAATTGCCACCACACACATTTAAATACTTGCCCTGGGATTCTGGTTACTCTACCACCCGCATTAGCAGGCAGTCCTTTTCACTAACAATGCCAAAAGGTGCATTTTTTTCTCTCTTCAATTCAAACATACTTACAATGTACTGTAGTACCTCCCCAGCGTTTTATCGAGGTTGTGTTCGACTCCTCGACTAACATTATATCTCAGTACGACCCGGGTCATCAGCAACAGTTCAAATGTGTTGATCAGCACGACCAGCGTTCAGCCCGTGGCAAGTTGGACAGCATCCTGTTCTACACGCCCACTCGGCTGGAGACTTCGCAACCAACACCGGCGCCCGCTCACCCTCCACTCATTCCACCATTACCATTGTTTCCACCCCCCCCCCCCCAATCTCAACCATGACGGTCTCAACGGTCTCAATGGTCTCAACTACGACCGTCTCCACCCTCGCCATCCACACCTGGCTTGCCTTCATCCTCGAGTCAGCCGGCGTCAGACGAAACCTCCGTTGAATATGATAAGTTTGCTTGGCTTGTTTCCCAGCTATCTGGCGCTCAGGACTTAGCGTGTCTGGAGATGTGGAATTGTTACATAAATATGTTGGAATTGGACGAGTAGTGCGATGGCGAGGGGTGCAGTAGCAGCCGAGTAGCATCGTAGCTTAGTCAGCTACTCGGTGTCCTTCGGGCTTTGTCGTAGCGTAGTCCTCTTCACCACTTTGCCTTGCTCGCGACAGCATTATGATGATTTTATTGTCGGTTCAATGTTGAACCTACAGGCCACCCAAGGGTACAACCAGGAAGAAGGCTGCGAACGATGGCTACAGGATGCAAGCCCCAATGCATACGCTTAGAAAATATATACCAGTCTCGTGGTCTATCAGCTCTTCCTCGCATTGGTCATGCCAGGGTACCAACAAGAAGGGCTTCCTGTACCTTCTCTTGGGTATAAGACCCTCATGTATAACTGCAATGTGCTCTACTCTCTCTACACAACTATGCTGACTGCTGCTGCTCTGCACTACTACCACATTTTCCATCTCGCCGAAATTATCGACAATTATGGCCACATCATGTCCATCGCCATAATTTACAGTTTCGCTGTGTCCTTTGGTATGTATTTTGTTACAGTTGCAGCCGGAAACGAGATCCGCATGTCGGGAACTTCATCTATGATGTCTTCATGGGTGCTTGTTTGAATCCCCGTATCGGCTCTGTTGATCTGAAGATGTGGGCTGAGGTTCGGATTCCTTGGGTAATTGTCTTCTTTTTGGCCATGTCTGGAGGCTGCCACCAGTATGAACAATATGGTTATGTCACCCCTGTGCATCCCTTTTTTAAAACTTGTGTTCCTGATCCAATTTTCAGCACAAAGGGCGAAGAGTGTATCCCCCAAACATGGGATATGTATCATGAGAAGTGGGTAGTAATTCTTATGCTCGTTTATCTGATTGACATTTTCTTAGATGGGGCTTCATGGTCATCTTCTGGAACTTTGCTGGTGTTCCCTTCGTATGTAACTCCAATCATGTTTTAACTTTTACTGATCTGTGGTGTTGCAGACTTACATATACTCTGTGGTATACATGGCTTCGCACGATCCCTCTAACTATCAATTCTCTACACCTACATATGTCGTTCTTTTCACCACTCTACTGACAGCATACTACATGTACGACTTTACGATTTCATTTTCCGTCATTCAGCTGACATGTGTCCTCATAGTTGGGACACCTCAATGTCTCAAAAGAGTCGCTTCAAAATGCAAACACAGGGCATCACAACTTTCCGCAACACATTCACGCAGTTTCCAGGGGGAACCCTCAAGAAGCCTGAGTTTATCCAGACAGCACATGGGCAAGTCTTGCAGCAATTCTTAACTGATCGACTCTCTTACCTTGCAATTTTAGAAACCGCCTTCTCATCAGTGGTTGGTGGAGATACTCTCACAAACCTGTAGGCTAGATCCATAATAATGTGTTCGGTCTGCTAACCTCGTTGTTCTTTCTCAGAACTATGTTGCCGACTGGACCATGAGCTTGTGCTGGGGTGTTGTTATCGGAAGTGCAACCATCATTCCTTACTTCTACTCGGTTTTCTTCATCACAGTACTCATCCATCGCTGCGGGCATGACTTTGAACGCTGCTCGATCAAGTATGGCAAGGACTGGGAGCATTATTGTTCTATCGTTAGATATAAGTTCATACCCGGAATCTACTAATCTAGCAAGCTTTCGCATATTTATACCCGTTTTTACCATAGTATACCATGATGTCTTGGAGCAATTTGATTTGTTGTGAAGACTCAGTCGATGACAAATAAATGTTATCCGTTGATCCTGCCTGCTATCTCCTGGGAAGAAAATCACAGTATCATATATAGCCATATTTACCAGGAGAAAAGCATACTAAAACGAGGGAGAACGAGAATAGTTAGCAACGTTGAGAAGAATGTGCTGCCATACCTTGTGTGTTGTGATGGTGCCGTTTCACGACATTGTGGTGAACGTTAATAGCATTGTACACTAGTGGGGCAACGCCAAAGCCACTTCCCACGAAAAGGTCATGGATGACCTCAGATAACATCTTAATTTAGAAGAAAAAAGAAAACAGTAAACGACGTTGAGAGGAATGTGCTACCATACCTCATGTGTTGCGATGGCGCCATGTCACGACTTTGTGATGGACTCTAATAGGAGTATAAGTTAGATGAGCAGTTCTAGAGCTACTTATCACGATAATGTCTTGAATAGTGTCGTAATTCAACATATAAATAAGGCAAAACGACAATGCTCGAAATAATTGGCACAAGCAAACTATCGCCCCCCATCTACTGCAATGGCGCAATCTGACGACATCGTCGTGGATTGCTCATGTTACTCTGCATTTACGGATATCAATGGCCATGTATCTACAAGTCAAATTTCTCGCAGTATATATGATATTATTTAGCAGAAACAAGAATTGTATCCTTCTATAGTTCTCACGGCTACAATATCAAGGAATCATCGATTCACTGATGATGACCTATGTATCGCTACAATGAGCGCTGGTTGTGGGACAATAGCTCCCATCGCACCTTCTGCGCATCGAGAGGCGCTTCCATCCATAGCATTTTGCCCAACTGTGCCTTGCTACGATTTGCAAAAACAACATCAGATGCAGAGTTTGAGTTGATTACCGCCGAGTATAGGTCAATAGCCCTGTCATATTCGCTGGCAGCGAGGGCCGCATTTCCGTTGGCAGCACATAGCACGCTACATTGTTGCTTGAATTCTGAATCAAATGCAGGTGAGTAGTGACCAGCACCGTACCTTCTGGAGAAAAATCCACCGAGGTGATGACTTTGGAGTGAGCCTTGATGAGTTGGGTGATGGATTCGCCAGTTTCACCGTACCAGGCGATGTCCTCTCCATCATAATCACCGCTTACTATTATTTTACTATCTCGCGATATCGTCAATGCCCCACCGTATCGTTATGCTCCATCTTCTTTAACACAACACCTGTCTCCAAGTCCCAAAGACGAAGTGTCTTGTCGTATGAACCCGTAAGCATTCGTCGTTTATCGGAGAACACTGCGACCGCCTCTGCGAATTCCTCATGACCTTCAAAAGTTCGAATGGGTGTGGTGCTTGTAATGAGCTGTGACATTTTACTGCAGGTTGGTGGTGTTGAACACGGCCGAGAATTGTGGGCGTCTTTCTCTAAATTACAGAGGTGCGTGTATTGTGCGTTTTTAGTATGTGGCTTCACCGCGCTAACTATGCTCGTTTCCATAGACGCCCAAGACACGAGGCAAAGAATATGCTCTCAGCCGGTAATAACCGACTGCACTGGCTACATGCGTCCGATATTTGTCTTCACAATTTCAGGCCCTACCGAGACATCAAGCGAGTATCACACCTCTCCAATAAACTTTCAAGCTCAAGTTTTGTGTCTCTTGGCCGCTCACCTCACGGCTCGCTGTAGACTAGTATAAAGTATCTGCGTGTCTATGGTGCGTCTTGTGACTTGTCGCGGTCCTGCCTTCTAAGGATTTGGAACCAGGGACCCTTAGACTAGATGGAGGACGCGAACAAGATCCATCAGCAAGGATGACCCGCTCGTGGGCAGAAGGGAGTTATGAAGCTACTGTCATGAGTTCCGATCCATATGTATCGACCCTTGTCAAAGCTAAACTATAATGGTGACAATGTGAGTCGGCGGAATATTATCGGGCCCACTTTGCTTATCTATGTTTCACACAGCCAGTGTGTTTATCCTTTGGGCTATACACAAACTCTGTTCCAGGGCTTGCCACAGCAGCAGGATATGATCTCTTCGCAGGCCCCGGCTCATCGTGCCTTGCAACCATTGCTTCTGGCCAATGTATATCTCCCTGGGGTAGCGGCACCAAGTCAGTTTCTAGTGTGATCCTGATCGCGAATGTCATCAGTTCCGCCATAATGACAGCCATATTCACTACCGTCGGCTCTATTACTGACTGTGGCACGTTCTGACGGTACTTGCTGTCACAGTGGTATGCTGAGCTGCACGATATGACTGTATGGCGCTTACCTGTGCGTTTCCGAATGCACGCCAGTTGAGAGAAAAGTATGAAAGCAGCGAGATTCCTCCTGAAGTTTATGAGTAAGAAGAATTTATGGAAAACAATGGGATCAGTAATGTCTTTACCGTGCGTTGCAAGGGCTGTGTCGGTTGTCGTCGGAAGCTAACAATATTTCGATACAGGTTCATAGTAATGTCGGGTATATAACCACCTTATTGCTGAACTTAGCGCTTTTGTTACCGACGACGAACATCCCCAAGTTGGACAATTATGTCCTTGTGCTGTACGTTTTCTTGTCAACCAAGTCTTTGAAGTGTTTGTATTGATTCATCTGTAGTCTCACCACGTACTGGGTAGTACTGGGTATCTAGTGGTGTGAGTATATTGTAGCTTGTCTCTAGTAGGCTGCTGAGAACCTCCGAGTTATATTCCAGGGACCCAGGCCTGGCCCTAGTTTACCTGAAGGCGAACACAACATAACGATTGGATGGAAGGAGGTGAGCATTTGGCAAGATCTTCCTTAGAAATCGACTCACGCGAACATCGGGTCAGGGCTGCGCTGAAGACATACAAGCATCTTCTTTACAGCTGTGTGTATCTGTTCTCCTTCCTCCTCGCAGATGTACTGTTTGGTTGTCTGCCTCTCGAGCCATACCTGACGTCTTCTTGTACCGGGGATGAATACCACCGGAACTCTCGTTACCATTTGCCAGCTCAGCAAGTTCAGTTTCTTGTTCCTGAAAAATACCCCCCTTGGGCTTGTCACAGGCGACTACCTCGACTATGAGTGCCGCTGTTGCGGGACACATCTCTCCTGAGAGATTGAGATTCTGCCTGCACTCCTCGATCACAAGCATATCTTCATTTCTATCAAAGGCTTTGTAAAAATAAGGAGCATCTGATACAACAATGTGTCAGCGTTCCTTATTTCTTTGCTTCTTGATGGCACGACCACCACCGTGAAGACTGAGGTCCTCGGTCCTCGTCATGACACGTAGCACAAGAATACGACATTCCGGTTCTGTCTGAACATGGAAGCAATGCCCGATCGAGTTCGATCTTGGTTACTCCATAAGTATTCGCAGCATGGAGTCGAACCATCCACGACACCGCAGTATCGGTCTCTGTAACAGGCAGGTGTAGATGGATCCTTGATCATCCGATCAAGCAATTCTTGATTGTAGGTGGCTGTACAACTGATTGTTTTCTACTTTACAAGGAACTGCAGTTGCTTTGAGTCGATCGAGAAGGGTGAAGAAAATTATTACATAGAACATCTTTCACTGTGATCCCCTGTATTTTGGCATTCTGCCGGTCTATGCTTTCGTAGCGTGGTGGCTGGTGAGCGAGAACGAACTGAATTGGACAATGACTTAGATACAGCGATTTGACAGGGTCTAAATGATGAGGAAAAGGATGTTTGGGCGTGGGCTTCTCATTCAGGCGCATGTGCACCGCAGGAGAAGGAATTGAGTAGTTTAGCCGCACCCTGAGAGAGGAGGCAGCGGGTGGGACCGGTGGGTGCCAAGGAATAATAAAGTAAAATGGAGTAAACAGGCAGATCTCAGGCTACTGCTGAACAACTAAGACTAAACTATCATGCTATCGTCGTGGGTCAGAGCAAGGTAGCACACGCCTAGGTGTGCCTCACTCATGCGTAGACTCGATTCTATGCTAACCTCTTCCCAACAATCTTGACTCACTTTGGCTGTTACGAAAATTGGTGACTATTTCATTAATCATCATTGGATGGACAGTCTTAAGGCCGTCACAACCAGTACCTCTATTACCGGCCTGACCAAACCTGAAGAATATCCATCCAATGATGATCGACGAAATTTTCGTAACAGCCAAAGTGAGTCAAGATTGTCGGGAAGTGCCCATATCTGACATGTGTCGATAGTGAAATCCGATGATGATTCTCCCGGCTCAGACATCATCGCAGCACCATCATTCATCCTTAACAATCTTGCTGTTTTAGTAAGTATCATACGGCTGAGTGCATTTTCCCCTCAGACCGGTAGAACTGGTCCTAATCAGTGCAGTACCGCAGATCTAGAAGCATATCGCTCTTCCAATAAAATAATTCATGTGCGTACACTGCAAGATATGAACCATAAGGATCACGGGATGAAATGTGTCGTGAAACACGAGGGCGTCAACCTTCACACTGACGGACAGAGATGTCCGAATTTAAGGCCCTGGACGCGTGTCACCAGTTGTATGTTCGATAAGGGACTTCAAATGGATATGTTCTTCCTGCGTCACCCGGACCACGAAGAATAACATTCAGCGCATAGTATAAAAAGCCGTCTGCTTACCGTCTCATTCAGATCGATTTGACCCCATATCACATCCTCACAAACAATGCATCTCCCCTCTGTCGTCGTCGTTGCTTTTGCTTTGATGGCATTAGTGTCTGCCACTCCCCTTGACATTGATAGCAGCGATGGGTGTCCTATATTGTGCACGTCAAAAAATTGCTGCCCTGGGAAGAAATGTACGATAGAGGGCCTCATATATGTGAGTATAAGTATTTTGCGTCTTGGATTTAACCACACGACTCACCGGCGTGGTAGCGCGTCTTGACGTGTGTTTAAGACGAATGACTGCATGACATGCAAACGTTTCAACTACGGTGAGTCGTATTTCTACTTCAATCAGCATCGGTGCACATGATGACTGATGGCACGACATAAAAATTTCTACTAGATTGATGTTGATTTGACCAATGTCTTGGTTGCGAACAAATTTGACTGCCGCTCGAGCAATGGAGATCTTGGAATAGGGGAAATACTTGAATAAATAGAATGACTAAAGTACTTACGAGTTTTGCAGTCTCGTTGTACGCTTGAACATTGAAGCCTCAATGGCACCATGACTCCTCCCCTCATACGCGCTGTTGACTAGTCATGGATGCATTTTAAGTCTGCACTGGCTCACTGGAATATGTTGCAACCCTACTAGATGGTGGTCTATACCGAAAGTTGTCATTGTCAAACTGCGAAAGCTCGAGATCCCGAGATCTGAAATTGCACCAGGCCGCGGCGAGTGATCCATGTACTTCCAACCATGGACGTCTGGACAACGAAAATATCGTAGATCTGCAAATGGAAGACTACATAGTAGTCATCAAAGCCATTGATTTGTAAGAAAAAGTATCCGGCACAAAGTACCGGAAGGAAGAACAAGCCTCATTATCACAGGACAGACTTTGTGTCATTTGTGGAAACCAGAAATGAAAATAAAGAGCTGCATCACAAAATGTCGAGAGGTCGTTCAGAAAATCTGTCGACAATGTTGATGCTTTGATCAACATCATGAAGAACACAGACTGTGATCGTGCTCTCAGCCTCGTACAAGCAGAAACAGCAGGAATAATTGCAAAGACTTGAATGTTTGCAGAATGGAGTTATTTGAAGAAGGGATCCTAAAATCCTTGAAATGAGATGGATATGAGGGCGTGCAGGACATACGGAATATGACAGTTACGCGATCTCCAAGATATTCAAGATCGAGAAAGGACAAAAAAGGTAGACGTGATTGTCACTCTGCAGGCGCACCCATACTCCAATTACTCGGAGGGTGCCGGTGAATGCGTCATAGATTAGCATCCAAATAATCCAAATACCGTGATGTCAATGAATTGCTGGTTTCTGAATTATTACTGCTATGCACGATACAGACGCTCGATATTTACGGAGCTACGATGTGGGTCAGGCCTGGCCCCTTTTATATGATCTAAATTGATAGAAGGAACCTGGAACCACCGTTCACCTGATCCTCATTTACTACATTCACCCCGATGCCTGTACTAGCCTGCAAAGGTACAGTACGCGTTCTACACTGATAGCTACATGCACATGTCTCAAAGTGTATCTCATTTTCGACGAATCGCGCGTCAAAACGACCGATCGACGGTTCTCCTACACCAAATTCAAGCAATCAGAAATGCAGTTATTTGAGGACGAACAAAGGGTTGCAAGAAATGATAGGGAAGCGACAGGACTCGGAGCATAATCTGTACCTGAGCTGCTACCTAAGTGCCAAAATCACATCTAACATGCATGTGCGATACGTATGCTGCAGCTGTATGGTATCATCTTCGAAGTCGTCCAAAAACTGTGAAACAAAAACATACCACTACAATATCTCTATGGTCCTGATGTCCATCGAGTCTCCAACGAAAACCACGTCCTGGACTTGTCCAATGATATCATGATCCGTCGCGATCCTCTTGTATTCTCCACCGCGCTGCTGCGCTAACAAAAATGCGCTGAAAGGTTGCCCAAGGCGAACAAGCAACCGCAATGCTCGTGATTCTAGGTCAGACATCCCCTGTTTTACAGGAGAACCACCAGACCAGTCGTCTGATGGAGAAGAAGGCGGCGTCTCATAGTCTTCCTCGCTCTCCGTATCATCTCCATGGTCAGACGGTTCTGGAAACTCTGGAAAGTCAGGTAGCTCCAGAAGAGACCGGTCCCAGGGACGGACGAGGAGAAATTGCTGCTCAGTGGGCCTTGCCGGCCAGAATTGAACCAGGGTTTCTCCGGTGATGATAAGCAAGTCGTGAAGTCCGCCTGCCTTCACCCTATACATGACATGACTTTCCGGGGTTGGACTACCCACCCGGCGTCTGACTTCCGTGACATTGAATGCAATACAGGGCAGATGTAGTCTTTGTGCTGCGAAGCGAGGGGCGCTCGTGTTCCGAAGCTGAGTATAAAGGTCTGGAGCAAAATCAGCAACCCTCATTTTTCGCAGCGAAGAAGCCAATGACTGAATTTCATATTCGGGTAGGGGTGGTAGCTCGCATGGTGGAGCTTCGTAGGAAGTGATGGAGGCTGGTAGACAGCTGTTAAACTCTGATGGTTCTCCGACCCAATCGAGGCCAGTGATGTCCCCTGACCGAGCCACGATCTCCTGCAGGAGCCGCCCGAGAGCCTTGTCCCGCTTCTCGCCATAATCTACAGGCAGACGGACGCCGAAGATGCCAAACAACGAGTATGCGATGTCTTCCTGACGCGTGGTAACGCGGGTTGACGCCCAATGAAGTTTTTCTCGCGCGTTATGCATGCTGGAACGAAAGGCCACAACGGCCGGTCGGTCTATGCCTGTCGCATCCTTGATCTCCTGCATGATTGCAATGGAATCCTTGTGGTTGGGAGTACGATCATTGCGATAAAGAGTCCAATTATTCTGATAAAAGAGAATGACTTGGGGAGCGATGAACTCCTGAAACGTCCATCCCCGCGTGTTCCAAGCGCTCTTTGCCAGTGCGCCAGAATTTGACGAAGGCGGAACATCAGACAGGTAGACGATCGTGAGCGCAGAATGATGATACCATACGAACATGGAGTTGACCGATTCTTGGACTTCGACATTGTTGCTCTCGTCGATGCAGCATGTATCGCTCCATGCCCAGTTATACCCCGCATCAAGAGCAGTTTTTCAGAACGACCGCAGCTTCGTCATGCCGCCAACTGGGTCCAACTCCGAGTCGTACACGCACTTGCCCTGGATATCCTGCAGCAGCGGCTCCTTCCCTTCCCACCTGTGTGATAGCATGGCATATTGCAGGTATCTCTTCACCACTTCTTCGATGTGCTCGATGTGCAAGTCAGCATGCATAATTGTTGATGACACAAGCTCCTTATACAACATGCTCATTTTGAAGGTGTCTATCTGCATCTCCCGATCGCATAAGAGACCTGTGGTGGTGTCGAGTACACGCAGCGGAGCGTTGTCGAGTTGGGCATCAATGACCCGTCGAATGGCGCATTCTACCTCCGAAGGTCTGAGATACTGCTGGCGCAGCTCTGGAGAAAGAGTCAAACATGTCGACGAATGCGTTATCAGAGCCTTACTTCGTGTCTGAACATCAGGTGCATTGTCCAATATCGAGAGCATTGTTTGGAAGGTCTCAATCGCTTCATCATAGCGCCGCGCACCATGAAGCGCTGCGTGCTTCAAGTTGTGTCCAACATAAGACAAAGAGTGGAGTTCAATAACCTATGTATCGCCTAGATGAGCATTGGCTATGGCACGATAGCTCCCATCGCACCTTCTGCGCGTCGAGAAGTGCTTCCATCCATAGCATTTTTCTCAACTGTGCCTTGCTACGAATTGCAAAGACAACATCAGATGCAGAGTTGGAGTTGATTACCGCCGAGTATAGGTCAATAGCCCTGTCATAATCGCTGGCAGCGAGGGCCGCATTTCCGTTGGCAGCACAGAGCACGCTACATTGTTGCTTGAATTCTGAACCAAATGCAGGTGAGTATGATTGCCTCAGGTGATATCACTAAGACTCACCATTGGACCAATCGAGACAGCTGGTCTTCGCAGTGCCGTCGATGGCGTCTATCATGTATTTGTGTGCTTCGAGGGCTTGATCGGGTTTACCTGCTGAAAGGAAAGCCTGGCACCGTTTCTGGTGTGTCGTAAGCAACAAGGACTTGAGATCCCAGCCAAAGAGCTGCACAAAGTACTAGGTTATGAAAAGCATTACGTATGCATCATGTCTACGCACCACGGTCAAGTCTTCATGTCAAATGAATGTATTTTGACGAGAATGCAGTAGAGTTGACGGCAGAAGTGAAATGATCAGCGGCCTCGTGGTAACGCGCACCATCCAAGGCTGTGATTCCGAGACGAACACGCAGATATGTCTAATGTACGAGCGACGAAGGTCAGTATTGAGGACCAAGCTTAGCTCATGATACTGACTTCCACGACACGACGCGCGAGAGGCTCGACATTTGGACAAGCAGTAGCCAGCTCTTTGATAGACAACATTGCTTCCTCGTGTTGATCTGCGTTGAAGAGTGCGATGGCCTGGCTTGCGGGATGAAGCAGGTAGTATGGGAAACGGATCGAATGTACCTTGATCAAGAGAAGAAATTGGTTGGTTTCTGAATCATGGTTCGTGAACATAGATGCAACGTCGAATGCCACCCTTGCTTCTCGGACGCGATCTTTTCCGCAGAGGGCGATGCCTTTTGAGATAAAGCCAATCAATGATGGTTTAATGTCGATTGACTATGTCACGGATGAATGTTAGCCTTCCGTAAGATGACAATGATGGGTGGATCCATCTCACCTTGATTGCATCCTCGAGAGCGTTGTCCAAGTTGTGCTTCCGGGCCATAACGAACGAACGATTGGCATATGAAGTAAAGTTGTCGGCGTCGGCGTGGATCTCTTGGGTGAGGAGCTCTTCAGCGATAGACAAGTCCCCAGCCAGACATGCATCGCGGGCTGTTGTGATACTAAGGATCTGTACGAATGCTCGAATTGCGTAATGAGAGTCAGAAATGGCCACTCGCCTTTGGATGTGGTACTGCCCATTCTGAGATCTTTTTGTCTTCACCTCCTATGAGAATGCGCTTGCCGTCCACAGAGAACGTGACACATGTCGCGGCAGATGAATGATGAAAGATGGCGATGGTTCGTTGATCTGAGGCCCGCCAGAGACGAACATGCTTGTCATTAGATGCAAAAGCGACAAGGGTGCCAGTGGGATGAATGGCAATGGCCCGGGTGTAGATATCATCAGCCTGAGTGTGGCCTTCCCAGGGGCGACCGACCTGCTGCCAGGTTGATGTGTCCCACTCCAATATGTAATTACTTGATTTGGGACCTGTCGGACATGCGACGCGTTCCCTTGTGCCTGGATTATAAATTTGGGTATTGGACTTTGTTGAGATGGCAAGAAGTTCACCAGAAGGCGAATGTCGAACGCAGTAGACATAATTGCCACACCCGATTGGTTCTCCTTGCATCTGCCACGTTTTGGTACACCAAAACTTGATTGTGCCTTCAAATGAACCAGTGACCAGCACCATTCCATTCGGAGAAAAATCTATCGAGCTGATATTTTCGGAGTGGGCTTTGATGTGTTGGGTGATGGATTCGCCAGTTTCACCGTGCCAGGCGATGACCTCTCCATTTCCATCGCCGCTTGCTATTATCTTACCATCTCGCGATATCGACAGTGCCTCCACCCCGCTGCTATGCCCTTTCATCTTCTTCAACACAACACCTGTCTCCAAGTCCCAAAGACGAAGTGTCTTGTCGTATGAACCCGTAAGCATTCGTCGTTTATCGGGGAACACTGCGACTGCCCTTACGGTCCTCATGATCTTCAAAAGTTCGAATGGGTGTGGTGCTTGGAATCAGCTGTGACATTTTACTGGAGATTGATGATGTTGAGCACGGCCGAGGGATTGTGGGCGTCTTTCTCTAAGTTACAGAGGTGCGTGTATTGTGCCTTTCTATGTTGCTTCACCGCGCTAACCATCCTCGTTTCCATAGACGCCCAAGACACGAGGCAGTTCGCCATCACCGTTTCAGCAAGAATGTTCCCAACCAGTCATAACTGGTTGCACTGGCTACATGCGTCCGACATTTATCTTCACAGTTTCAAGCCCTACCGAGACATCAAGCGAGTATCACACTTCTCCAACGAACTTTCAAGTTCAAGTCTTACGTCTCATGGCCGCTCACCTTACGCCCCTCGTAGACTAGTATAGAATATCTGCTTGTCTATGGTGCGTCTTGTAACTTGTCGCGGTCCCACCCTCTAAGGATTTGGAATCAGGGGCCCTCAGACTAGATGGAGGACGCGAATAAGATTACTATTACATCCGTCAGCAAGGATGAACCGCTCGTGGGCAGAAGGGAGTTGTGGAGCTATTATCGTGAGTTCCAGTTCATAGTAATGTCGGGTATATAACCACCTTATTGCTGAACTTAGCGCTTCTGTTACCGATGACGAACAACCCCAAGTTGGACAATTATGTCCTTGTGCCGTAAATTTTTTGTCAACCAAGTCTTTGAAGTGTTTGTATTGATTGATGTGTAGTCTCACCACGTACTGGGTAGTACTTGGTATCTGGTGGTGTGAGTATATTGTAGCTTGTCTCTAGTAGGCTGCTGAGAACCTCCGAGTTATATTCCAGGGACCCAGGCCAGGACCTAGTTTACCTGAAGGCGAACACAACATAACGATTGGATGGAAGGAGGTGAGCATTTGGCAAGATCTTCCTTAGAAATCGACTCACACGAACATCGAGTCAGCGCTGCGCTGAATACATACAAGTATCTTCCCTACAGCTTTGTTTATCTGTTCTCCTTCCTTCTCACAGATGTACTGTTTGGTTGTCTGCCTCTCGAGCCATACCTAGCATCTTCATACCACCGGAACTCTCGTTACCATTTGCCAGAACAGCAAGTTCAGTTTCTCGTTCCTGCAAAATACCCCCCTTGGGCTTGTCACAGGCGACTATCTCGACTATGAGTACGAAGGAGATTGGTGTGTAGCACTAGTATTCCACGTACTTGTTTATGTGATCGTCAACGGTACAACTTGTGATGACTAATGTTTCTATTTTGATTTTGCAGTGGGGTATGATTGGAATACGGACAGAAAAACTTGAATCGGTGTCGCTCAGCTTGTTTCTTCCACCCATCATCGCTCTAACATGTACACCAGCTTCCATAACATCTGGGAGTTCTGGTTCGTCGAGAACCCACTTTTCCCTACCTTGTTTTATATCCTTCTCAGGGCATACAACATTGCGTTCAGCATTTTCCAGGCGCCTTACTACGCGTTGTCCCAGACAATGATGGCCGAGCCCGATTCTGATAACATGGTGTATTTGCCTTCGTCGTATTTCCCGCCCCATTGCGTTCGGCTTACATCAACCAGTTCTTCGGTCTCTTTGGTTTATCCAATCGCGCTTTTTCTATGGTAGGACCCAATGTCATATAGGTCATCATCAACAAGACGGAAGTGGTTTTCGTTCTTATTTGCGTTGTGTATGGCTACTTCGGTGATCTGGTTTGACGTTGATGCGACAAAGGCGCACAGGGATGCTGTGAGGTGGGCGGCTGATTGATGCAGGTACACTCAACAGAACGATCGTTATATATATGCATTGCTCTTTGGAATGCCTTCGGACATATCCGATGTATCCATCATGTCAGGATACAATATTCGATGTCCATCTACTAATGAAACAACATTGGCCGAACGACGTAGTATGCACAAGCAGACCCTATATGCATGTGACCGAAAATCCCTATAAAAATCATAGTACAAGTCAAGTACAAGTAATGATGCTAGTAACACATAGTTAAGGTGTCTGGGTATGGTAAGATGATTAATTTAAAAAAGGGGGAGGAGGAAAGAAGGCAACGGAAGAACGGTGAGGAAGTCCTAACATATTCCAGATGATTAAGCATCACTGTCACTCGCATTACTGTCGGTCTCATCGTTGCCCCAGACAGCAAATGCGCGAGGTTGATGTTGGTCATAATCCCTCGAATCTACTCGGTGATGGTTTCTGCGACCCGAGAGTGTATCTGCAATGGTGGGAGTCTGAAGATTGTCATCAAATTCCCTGTCCTTGGGAATACGACTACGGCCACTTGAATATTGTTCCCGAGAATGTATATCGTCCCGAGTACCACGTTGCGCCACGTGCATGGTCGACAATGAATCATCCGAAGAGTTTGAAAGTGCAGGGGAGGGCGTCCTTAATTGATGGTCAATGTGGAAGGGATTGATATGAGGCGGACGATGTGCGGGTCCAGCGAACCGTCCTGGAGTATCGACACCAGAGCGCAGACCCGACCTTGAACGCTGAACGTGATTTGGCCGAGCGAGATGATTTGAGATGACGTCCTTGAGTGAGTGCAAGCGCAGCCAACTGCGGTGTCGAGAGTAAATCCTCATCTGTCTGGGAGCCCATTTCCTCACGAGCTTTTGCAAGACCAACTGCAGCATCTGTAGCATTTAACTCGTTCGGAATTTGGATACCAGCACGTCCGATGGTCGAAGCCTCAGGGGACGAATCATCAATGTCGAATTTGTTATCTTCATCGTCAGACGTTTCATCCTCCTCTTCATCCTCCAAAGTTTCATCGAATATATCATCAAGCTTCATTTTTTCAGGCCTCCTCGTTTTCCCCAGGCTGGATTTCCGTGACGGACCCTCTTCGACTACAACAAACGATTTTTGACGCTCGCGTTCATTCCATTTTAGGGTTCGTGAGATGGCGTGGAACCAGTCAGTTGACTGTTTATCCGCGCAAACAGTTGGGAAAGGGTATTTGGAAGCAGTTATTTTGATATGATCACCCTCTGCAAAAGAAGTAAGCGACGGAATGAAAGGTAGCATCTAATGACAAACGTTGCAGTTCCACACGGCCTCGGCCGTCGAAAGACACCCAAGCGGTACTACGAGAATTATATGGGACACATATGCGAAGCTCCATACTGTCGGGAAGAAGCATGGGACGGAACGATAGCGTGTGAGGGCAGATGGGACTGATAAGGATTGCAGGTAATCTCAGGGTGAACCAAGGATCCTCCAGCAGATAACTACATCGAGAGGAGTTAATATCAGTGACCGATCAGTGATAGTGAGAAGCCTACCGAATAAGCGGTGGAACCGGTGGGCGTGGCTACACAAAGCCCATCAGCTTGCACAGTTGTCATATGGTGTTCGTCGCCTTCAAAATCATAAATATACGTATCCCAGATATCAGGGGAGGTAACGCACCAAATAATTCAAGCAAACTGACATAGGGACTGGGTCCCCGGTCCACCACAAGATCATTGATAACCTCAAACGTCTCAACTGGTCTTGTCGTGAAGCACATGATCTCCTTATCCTTTGAACACTTGCCGCCCTCCGAAGTGGTAAATCCGCCAGACCAACCTCCTTCGAGTGCCTCCCACCCTCCTTTGTTTACATCCTTCATCATGATTTCACCTGTTTCACCCTTTTTCACGGCCTTGCGGCACTTCCCTTTGTCGTATACAGCACGGTAGACTGTACAAGTAAATCGCATGCGTAGGTTGACACGAATACCTGTGTCAATGGCTGAGTCTACAACCGCTTGATAGTCAGCGAAGTCGAAATTAGTGAGAAAGCCGAGGGAGCCGAGTGCGAAAGAGAGAACGGGAGGAACAATTCGCTGAAAGAGCCATGATGTGAAAAGAACAGTGCCATCTCCTCCAAGCTAAATCTCAAAATAAGTGGATACAACGAGACGTGTGAGATTGATCGCTCACCGTGATAACAAAATCGAACAGATGTGGACTATCTCGGCACATGTCACTAGTCCAGTATCGTAGCTGACCCTCCTGGGGCGTGTTGAAATCATCTTGAGGAGTGGATGACGATGACAAGGAAGAGAGAGAGTTGCTGCTGGACGACCGTCTTCGTGGGAGAGGCTCGAACAATTCTGGATGATCTCTTTGTAAACCTTCGGCGTCAAACCTCCTCGAATTGCGCAGTTGATGGTCTACATAGCTGGTGAAGTCATCGTAAACGCCCTGAATGTTATACTAAGCTCAAAACTCACACAATGAGGCCTCGACCCCCTTGACGATGTTTAAGCATCAGATACAATGCAAGTTCACGCGTCAGGTTGATAAGGCGGTTATCCCTGGCCTTGGTTACAATGAGGACGCTCTGGATATTGGATTTTATTCGAGCACGTCCTGAAGGAGCATAGTCGTTGAGTGAATGGAAAGTCTGAGAATAAGAACAGTGCTCACCGAGTTGCTTGCTCATTTCACGAACCCCGACCGCTGTCTCTGCCAGCTGTTTCGTAAGGTTGCCGCCATATGTATCACTATCATCATCTTCCGAGACTTCATCGGGATAAGAGAATTCAAGGTGGTGTTGAGGCTGATGGCGTTGCTGAAGAGCCTTGGCGACCCCAACGTCTGATCCAGGTACCTCGTTATCCTTAGTATGGACATCAAGCCAGTCCTGTAGCGATGCTCCTTTATCTAGGTGCGAATGTACGAAGCAAGGTGACTTTGCAGATAGACTCCTGTGTTCGATGGGCATTGCTAACGATGAACTGGGACTGGAGTTTAAGCTCGAGCTTGAAATTGATCTGGGCGATTCGGTAGATGGAGGTGTCATAAAGAGGTCGTTGTGAATTGATGTTGTGGGATTATCACCTGGACTTATCCGTTGTGCCACTGCCTTTCCTGAAGGTGGTTGTTGCTCTACCACAACATCATGATGCCATGTGATGTTTGTATGCAGCGACGATAACGACGATAACAGCGATAGCCGACTGTTTTTTCTCGATATCGAGGGTCGAATCACGTTTTCTGTGGGCATGCCGTCTGCTCGTCCGTCTGCTGGCGAGGTTGGTGGAGTGGAATACGTCTCAATCTCTTCAGACATTTCAGGCTGCCAGATATACTGTGGTCGTTCTGCGGTTATTATTGGGAGACGCAGCTGGGAAGTTAGTATCTCCTTTGATTCCCAAATGTCTTTACAACTTTATATTTGTTCGCTTCAGGTTTTCAAGCTCAAGCCTCGGCTTCGATAGAAGTCTCCCAGACAACTCAGATGCAGCCACCTTGATGGCTGATACGATACGTCTCTCGATGGCACTGTCTATTATAATATACCAAGATCTTCATTTTCAGCACTGTCGAGCATCGCCATTGGACATAAGACATCATTTACACGACAAACGTGAACTTATTATTCTCAGAACAGCCCTGACCTCTGGGACCCTTCACACCTAAATCTGGCCCTGCAGATTAGACGAGGCATCCCTTCCCACCCAAGCATCCTGCGAGGGATACTTCCATCTGCACAGGTGTCCCTACTTGGTGTCAGGTGTCCAGGGACACCGGGGGCTGTCCATTTGATCGTCTCTTGTCACCGTGGTTTGTTTGATGTAAGCACGTTGGCTTATTAGAATTCCCATAATTTACACAAATGCTGTTCAAGATAAAGCTTTCAGTATCACTGCCTTATAGCGTAACGGCTAGGTGGATGACTCAGTTACATTTGATCATCAATGCTCATTTGGAAATTGCAGTCTAATCACCATTGCATAGGTGTAACGCCTCACGGACCCTGCTTATGCAGAAACTGCGGCCTAGGCGCTCCGTATATGCCTAAGGCGGCCTGACTGATATCAATAGCACCAAATTGGCTTCCCCGGACAACTCAGCAACGCTCGCCCACGATTTCTAGAGCCCAGATGTGACCGTATTGCTATGGCAAAGTTACTATTATACCTCTGCCTCCAAGTCTCAAGATTGTGGGTGAAGAGTTGCAATTGGCGAACGAACTTATTGGAATGGTCCCGCTCATTTACGCACACGAAGATACAAGTTATAGGATTTCAACGGATGGGCAGTACGTGTATGACAGTGCCATAGTAACCAAGGTGGTTACTTATGCTACTAAACTGCGACTAAAAGACTTCAAAAGAACACTGTACCCCGCAGAACAAATCTCTCCAGCTTTCTGTAATCTGGTCGATCTTTGGCTACTGCCCAGAGCCAGATATCTAGTTCGGGCAATGTGATATCTTTCAGCCATGCTTGCTCTTTACTGAGTTGTCCGTCACCCCTTGCATATTGAACAATTCTCTCGCAAGCGTGTACGGCAGCCGCACGCAAAAGATAGGCCTGCTCCGTCGTGAGTACAGGACCATCCTTTGGGGGTGTTTTCTTGGTATCTTGCGCAACTCCTTGTGAAGCCTCAGGAGGTGAAGCCAAGAGTGTGTTAATCCTATCTTCGCTCTCGGCACCAGGGAACAAATCATGAAGTTCGTGAGACGTTGCGCCACTCAGGTCCAAAACTCCCAAATGGACCAAAAGGGACGGCAAAACATTATCGGTGAACACGGGTGCCTGAGCTGTGTTGGGGATGTGAAACGGTGGCGAAGAACCAAAACGAATCTTCACTGCATGTATAAGAAAAAGGGCCTTTTTGAAGCAGTACACAGCTTCGAAAATTTGATGAGTGTGACGACAGTTTTAGCTATGATCTGCCGCCCACTCACGTTTCCCGTTAACAACCGCCATGTCACGGAAAGCTGGAATAGCTCTGACCAGCTAATTCAAAAGAGTTGATTATTCGGTGGTTGCGAGGTATAAGAAAATCGCGGCCCACCCTCTCTAACACGATTCCAAGACTTGCGCTAGGATCAGCCTTTGCTCCTTCCTTCAAGCTCTCCAAAATAAAGCTCCCTAGGTCCGAATATCCTGAAGTCTCCAGAATCTGACCCGTCTCGATCAGGGTCGAGCTGATCAGTTTCACCAGCTCATATATTGGTCCACCGAGTTCCCCGACCGTGAGACCAGGGATCTTCTCATGAGGTCGCTCGACGTGGATCGTGACGCCCATGTGTTGTGCCACTTGCTGCTCACTCATCGTCTTCATGCCTTTCGCAGAAAGTAGATCTCCTTGCCCTGTCGCAGAGGACAAATAAAGAGAGAAAGTAAACGCCCGTATATTATCCCATGCGCCTCGTCCTGTCTGTTCGTGAAGTGGCACTCGATAGCCGGAAGCGAAGTTCAGGAGAGAAAGAACAGACAAAAAGTTTAGCTCTGATAAGAGTGAGGGGAACTTGAGAGGGAATGCAAGCCCGTGAGAGCCTGAGACGCGATGAAACGAGGATTGAAAGGACGGAGATTCCAGGAGGCGTCTGATAGCGGCATCTTCGACCTAACGAATCAACCGGTCAAAGGCTGATCGCAGAAAGAAATCCTTGACAGATCGACACGAAACGTATGCGATAGATTGCAGGGATAACAAACAGACATGGATGGTGCGACACTCAAAGACAAGCTGAATGCGGAGAAAAATTAAGTACTCGTCAAAACGCTCACCTTGATATGTGCGGCCACTGTCGCGATCCGGCAAGACTCTTTGATAGATGAGACGAACGTCCCAGATGAGGGGAAATCAGGTTCCATAGGCCGCAAATCACTGTGCATCTCATGTATATGCAAGACTGTTGAAGTGCAAAATGACGGAAACTACCGTATATGATGAAAGATTTAATCCAGTCGCAGTTCAAGTCGCAGTCCGATTCGACGCTGTTCCGCAGTTGATTTTCATACGTCGAGAAAATTCTGATCAGTAAAGAGCTGTAGTGTCATATATATGTGAGGCCTGCTGATGGAGAACAAACGTGGCACCAGGCAGGGCGTAGGGAGCGGTGGCACGGGTCAGACTCGAGTGTGTGGGGTCTTGAGCAATGACATAATACCGTCTTGAACGGGGGTCAATAAACTCATTGTTTGATTCCAACCGACGCCCCAGGGATGCACAGAGCGCGACTGACCGACATGCTTCAAACACGCGTACACCATACCGGGGAAGGCGCCATATTGTGTAATAATACAATTGTTTCGTACAATTCCACTTCCTGAAACTACCTTTGGCGATAGACCACTAAAGAAACGTACATTCACTGCTAAGACACGTCAGCTCCACTTCGGAACGCCATTTACATTGTGTTGCATTGCCTAACATTAGGGTCTTGCTGAAGACAAGCGGATCAGCGGGATTGCTGCCACAACATGACCATGAAACGTACTCAGGCGATGATTCAAAGTGATTTCGAGGACAGCATTGACTAACTCCTCCTTCGCCGGACGGCACAGATACTCTTTCTCCTTCGCGGCAGTGGCCACAGCCTTTTCATAAGCGTGGACGGTAGCGTTCACACCTTTCTCGACAGCAGCTGCATGGGGAGATGCCATGTACTGCTCCAGAGCGACATGAAAAGAGGAATCGGACCCCTGCTCGTCCTGAAGATAGCGCCGCTTGTCGAAAATGTAGAAAGAGTGTTCAAAGATAATGACAACAGCTAAATGGTCAATAATAAGCAGGTTGATCACAACGTAAACTTGAAATTCACCAGAAATGAGCTGAACAATGATCTCCAAGGGTGATGACTCGTTAGAGGGCTGGTAGATTCGCAACATGAGAAATGTGTACAGTCTGTGACCAATTGGACGTACCACAGAGAGTACCTTGGACTGTATTTCTACGAGGTGATCGTGCTGAAGTGTTTCCTATAAATGGATCAGCATGGCTCGAGCTCGAATGAGGGTTAACAAACGTACTGCCTGCAAGTAAACGGTTGATGTAAATGAGAGCAACCTTTGAACTTTCCAATAAGCTTACCGAAATATGCGGAAACCAGTCGGCCAAGGTCCTTATTATCTTCTGATGACCCTCAGATGTCGTTTTTTCTGCCGAGTCAAAATGTTCTGGGAGTGTTCTGGACAATATCAGTTGCTAACGCTTGCGAGAGGTAGATGAAACCAGTAGTTACCTCTCAATTGCATATTTCATGCAGATCTCCAAATTGGTCTGCTGTGTCGAGACGAAGAATTGCTTCAGTGCTTCGTCATCCAAGGTTCCAGCCGTGCGTTCGATCAGCGCCCCGCAATCTGCATTATCTTTGTCCATATCTGATCGATCAACGGTCATCATGTATTGCAACTCGATCATAAACCGGCTTACTAGGAAGGCATACATGACCTTTTGGAGGCCATTGGACGCCATTGATGAGCTTCAATTGTGGTCCATCTCGAAATGTTTCTTCGGCGTGTTTCGGGGCAAGTTCTTTAGCGTCCTTCCGAGATTTTCCTTCCTTTTTTAGTTCTGAGTATGCGACACCGTAGAGGGCATCAAACTTTGTAAATAATACGATCACTGGAACTGGGGATTGTGATTCTGCGCATCAGTCTAACGTCAACGAGCGTGGGATACGAAAACTTACTGCTTCCTGTGTCGCACTGAGAGAAGAATTTATCTTCACTTGCAGTGAATGACCTGCTTGCTTCATCCATTGGAATACAGTACCTATGTTGAAACCTTGAGATAGCGCATGTTGCGATTGATAAGTTGCAATTACCATATAGCATGAAGTTGATTTGTTATTTTGGTTTCCTTGGAACGGTCAGTGATGAATGCCTTGACCTTGATGAATTCTGATTCGCCGCCTGCCTCGAAACCGCGTGAATCGTGGAAAACGAAGCCTGGGTTGCTTCGAAACACCGTTTCATTCTCGATGTCGTGCAGTCCGCGCTGAGAGCACGTCAGTTCACGACTCGATCGACTAAGAGCACAACTTACCTCTCTGGATGGCGCTAAAACTGCAAGATCCACCTGATGTCAATGGGTCAGTACCATCCTCCTACTAGCATTGTGATGTCCACCTTTTTCCCGGCGCTGTCGTAGATTTCGGGATTGTCCCGTGTCTTGCAGACTCTCTGGAGGATGGTGGTTTTTCCTGCATTTGCTCTTCCTGTAACGAGGATTCGAAAGCGACCGATTTTCTCTCTTATCTCTGAAGGATCCATGGGGGACGGTAAATGTAACTCAACTTGGAGAAGCGTTGGTATAGCCTTATAATCAATGGCAGTGTCAGTGTGTGAACCCGGTAAATATGCCCAACCCGAGACCAGCCTATCTATTCGAATCAGTGGGCAACATACGGGCTCGATATTGATATTGGTATTTGATATAACTGTGTATGAACCATATGCGTGCATGGGGCGTACAGGACAAGCTATCAGCATAAGATCCATACTCGAAATTAGTCTATCGTGATCAAGCTGAATCAACACTCACATATCCGTACCATATATATCTCGTGTACCAATCACAAAACATTAGGCCAAAATCGTAACAAACACAACGACGGCTTTGGAGTCATACCGTATGCGTGCCGCATCAGCGGTCAATACCTCCACCATCGCTCGTCAAGGCAATTTCTGTCGTGTATAAGGTCAAGCACCTTGTCCGAATGGTGCCCATCGCACGTTTATTACTGCTCACCAGGGGCCTGGCCTGCAGTCTCTCGCCCGCCTATCAGGCTACCACACCTAACCTCCAACCCAACTTCATGAAGCCTCGCGCTAAGCTTTGAAACCTCATGCTGACTCCGATCCCCGCACCAGAACGTGACTTCCTGATGCCACTTCCTGCTTTCGCTCAGTCGCACGAGGAAAATGACGGAGTGCTTATTGTACTTCCTGAATAGCACTGGGCGGAATGCGATTCAGGCAATACAAATAACACTCTAAGTAAAAAAACCAACACACAGGACAAGGAGACATGTCTCTACGTTTTTTTAAAGCTCATCCAACTTCAACGAAGGATCTCGAAACAGGCAGCGTGCCTAAGTTATCGTTGCTGTTTGCGAGTGCTAGGATGATGATCGATGATGGCCGATAGGGGTGGTATACCGGCGCAGGTTCGTGTTTTGGAACACCTGGCGATAATGATGCCAATAAGATACGAGCAATACAACCCTCCGTACCTGGAGGAGGTGCGGTTGAGGCCGAAAACATCGATGTTGAATAACTTGGTGACAGTCGGCATCATGATGTAGGATGAGTTTGGCAGAGGTAAGGCAGGCTTTCGCGGAGAACAATATGGTGACCATATGAGAGCGTGGGCGCTCAAAGTGCACCCTCAAATACCGAAGAAGGACGAGGGCAGCGAGCGATGGACGAGTAGAATTTGGTGCGGTGGAGGGCGCACGTCGCCACATGCACTGATGAGACTCGACTTGAAAACTAGATGAGCACGGATAACGGGTATTTTGGACAAGGAACTTGAAAGAGATAGGTAATGAACAACCCGAGTTGTTGGTAGATTGAGTTTAGGTGACATCTTTCGTGCAAACGAATCATCGTTTGGCGTTGGCGAGGGCCAGAAAGTTGAAAAATTTTAACCGCCGCTGTTGCTACTAGTAGTAACGACTCATGAGTAACTTAAATTACTCCAACAAGGAGGCAAATTTGCAGCTGACGAGGTTTTCGAGGTCTTGTCAGTGCACATGTCTTGAATCATCCATATTGATGTTAATTTAGCGCTCACGAGCTGTGCATCATGCCATCAATGATCACTAGCACTGGTAGTGGTCGTTCGAGTCCGCCTGACACAAAATACGTTGTCCTTTCTCGAACAGGTCACGGTCGTGCCTCCCGAAAATGCTGAGGCAAGCATATCAAGAAACAGAGAAATGAGAAGTATCACCGGCACAACAAGTTGCACGAACGTGAAGGATCTACCACCATGTGGTGCACAGTACTGCTGGGAGCACTTTGGGAAGGTGAGCAGGGCCCTGGTTGCACCGCACGAAAGCCAGAGCACGAGATCCATCGCTATGCTCGAATGCGGAGTTCCAAATTGAACTGTCTTCAACGATCATGATGATGATGATCGTAGTACTTCCACTTCGAATTCGTTCCTTGAGACAAACGCATTGCAAAATGCAATTGATGTCGCGCGCTTTGTCTGCCACATCAGGGATAGCCACAGGTCAGTAAAAAATTTAGCCGGTGCCGTCAGGTTCAAACGTTATACAGATGTCCGCCAACAACTGTTGTCTGGAGTCAAGACCGCTATGAAGGTGACTGTCCTGTTGAAACGATATTATGCACTTGCCAATGAAACGCTCAAATAGACCAAGGATTCAGTAACTTCTACAACTATACGCGTGAGCGTCTATTCTCAACAGTGAAGCTAAAGGTTCTAATTTCTGAGGTGCCTAATAACGCAGTCCATTCTCTCGGAAGTCTATGCTGCCGACAAGTCAGCTGGTTCACCCGTGTCATCCTCCGCTATAACCGCGATCCTACGAAAAGCCGCCTTACGACGTGTTAGTCCAGAATTTCATTCATTGATATTGCTCATTACTTGGTTTGCGCAGCGTGATTCAGCCATTCAGTTCATCAGTGCTTCCAGACCGGACTTGGCCCAAAAAGAATATCGCGAAGCAGACATTCTTGCGGCTTTCTTACCCCCTTTGATGTCGGACGTGGATATCGACCGTATTCTCAACGAGGTGATCGCTGAAACAACACTCGATGGGGATTCACGCAAAATCCTTGGGCAAGTATACAAAACCTTCTACTCTAAAGTAGACAAATCAAATGTGGACACCAACACTGTGAAGCGTAAGGCTGAAGCACTCCTGTTGAACATTTGAATAAGTACCATTTAATTCAAATCAAGTATACAATTTTCCATAGAGTCAGGTCAGGATGATATTCGACGGTGTAACAACGGTACAAGTGTGTTACGTGTTAGACTCTTCAGTAGCAGAGGGAGGTGAAGCATCGTGTGATTGGGCAACAGTTGAAGGCGTGTTACTGGAAACTGGCAAGGCGCTTCGTACTCGAGTGAGATCATCCACACAACGATTAACTGCAACCGAAACTCCTTCGAGTATCCTGAGTCTCTCATCAATGGCTTCTCGAGTAATCTGATCCATGAGCATCAGCTGCTCGTCTGTCAGATTGGGTGGCAGGCTACGTAATGGCGTCTGAACGGCATCCGCGTGGACAGAAGCGCCAAGATTTGACGGAGGTACCACATCACTATTTAAGGATGGTGAGAGTGGCTGCCACAAGTGGGTGTGGGACGGGTTAACGCCTTGTGATGTCCCTATTCGAGAGGGAATTTCATGGGCGTGTAATGGAATGAAAGTAGGGATTGCCAATTCTGGATCTGGCATGGCAGAAGAAACACTGGCATCAGAAGGTGATACGTTGGGCGCCTCACCAGAGTCAGGCTTGATAACAGATGTATCATCGGATGATGCAGGTGCCTCATCATGGGGTCTCTGGGTATTCTTGTGCCCAGTTCGCTGCAGTGCGGCGGCGGCGGCAGCTTCTTGGGGATTCAGCCGCGAGTCACCTGCGATGGCTGAGGGTTGACCTGAGGCGCCCGAAGGCTCATTACCAAACCATCGGGGATCCATACCCCACTGACGCCATTGTCCATCAAGGTCATTGAATCCAGGAAAGCGAGGCACAGGTTGAGGGGTAGCCGTAGCCGTAGCTTGAGATGCATCCCGTGAAGGTGGCGGGCCCTGGTACTGGATATTGTATTGAATAACAACGCCTGGTGCTTGCCCGGGCAACCACCCCTGAGCAACTGCATTCGGCGGGGGTTGTTGATTATTAACATTGCGAGGTGCTTGGGGTTGGTTTCCTGGAGCCACCGGGTTGCCGAAATTAATTGGCTGCCCAGGTACCGCTCCTGCTTGAGCACCCGCAGCACGCTGTTGTTCTTGCGCGGGAGTCTCAAGCACGCTGCGTCGACTACGAAAAGAATTCAACATCAGTGATCTCGAGATTCCGCAACGCGAATGAACGCACCAAGTAGGGCAGCTTTGCTGGCGTTCAAGCCAGGATCGAAGACAATAAAAATGGAAAACATGGCCGCAGGGCAGCTTCTTTGGGGTGGTGTTTGGGCCATCAGAATTCTGTTGTGCAGGGTTCGAGTGTGATTCCCCTTCCGGATTCCCAGAGACGCCATGGACGGACATCTCCTCGCGGCAGATAATGCACGTTCTATCTGTCATAGCCGACATTTCTTCTTCGCTCGCGTCAGGGTAGCGCTCATCCATGTTGCGGGTGGCAGCTCTATATCGAACAAGCGCGCGTAATCGTGTCACAAATGACCGCCCGGTAAGATAAACATCTCGGATGATGTTTAGCGGCAACCCATAGAACGCCACGATAAGGAGGAAGAATAAAAGGTATGTACTGAGTTTTAAAAAATCTGAAAAAGAAGTCTACAAAGGTTCGGCATTGATATGGATATTGCGTACCGGTGACCAACTCGATATAGAATACCCACATGCTTTTGTTCTGCCATGGAGGTGCATTCTCGCCACCCCTTTGCCCTGCGCGTCTCAAATCGATGACACAAATGCAATACTTTGCCGTAGTGTTCATAGCGCTCGCCATCAAGATGGCATACTGGAAGAAATATTAGATATAACTTGATGGGACATGCAGAAAACGTGCCTCGCTTGCAAACATCATCATGCCCCCTATACCGTTTTTCAGTGTACTTTCAACCGCAACCGCAAACATCAATAGATCTATGCACCAAAGTATGACAAAAAGAGTGGTCATTCGAATATGAAAAAGTGTAGGTGGGCCGGGAAATGGGCGTTGGTCCATCTAGGTTATAACTCAGTGCATTGCAACATCAGGCGAAGTAGGACACATACCCACTCAATTCGATCGGAAGCGAGCCAGTGAAATGACCTAACAAACAGCAAAAAGCCGAACATCAAGGCAAACGGAATATCAAAGTCATCCCGGAATATTGTGAACGCCAGTAAAGATTCTGTGATGAAAAACCATAGTCGGTCATAGAGCCGCTAGTGGGAATTAAGCGCGGAATCGACTGTCAATGTAATAAGAGCTACCTCCACCTCCTGAGGACGAAGAGCACCAAAAAATAGCTGTTGCACGAGCTGGCCACATAGCAATGCAATAAGAAGGCCGAAATTTGCAAGTATCTGAAAGCTGTTTGAATACACCGTAAATCACAATTAATACACCACGCACCAATACACTTCTATTACTCTTGGAAAGATAGATTGCGACAGAATAGAAATTACTGTGATACCGGAGTGCATTTGTGATGGTTGCCGAAACTGCAATTGTAGACACTAGACCATAGAGCAGAACTTTGTGATAATTGAATGAAGCCACAATTGGGTGAGCTCTCTGCCGCAGAAAAATGTTGAGGGGCATTCCCAGGAAAGCTGTGAGGGAGGATAGTGAAGCTCAACAAACTCTTGTTCGACCGTCGACTCGGATGAGAGTGAGGTGCTGAATGCATTGCGTGTCATAAACTGGACGTGACTTCTCACGGTCACGTCACCAGCGCTGGGGTTAGTTCATAGTAGAGCTGTAGAGCAACAAAGCGGCTAATTGATTTTGAAGTTCGGATTAATCTGGAAACTCTACTGTGCTGATACTTACGCCCATTCCAAAAGATTCACTTTTATCATGTAGTACTAGATGCTTTCAACAAGTGATATTCAAGTTTCGAGGCGAGCGGATGGACTGAGATGCTCGTTCGCTATGGATGGAGACTATAAGGAAAAACACGTTGCGATACGTATATTAGCGTAGTAAGGAGAATGATAGAGTGAAACATTGGTATCTGGACGTCGAGTGACACTCGACGTCATTTCTCTTGTGCCTCTGTCAAACGGTCGCACTCGTATCACGCGTCTCGATCCGACATCTCCGAATCCTCCGACTTCAACAAGTGACTCATCCGCCTAACTGTGGCACATCGCGGGAATGAGGGCTCGACGTGCTGGCATATATCTTGGGTAATGAACGTAAGTCGGATCATGTTCGCGACCAAAAATCGAAAAGATGACAGGGTTGCTGCATGCAGTCTACTAGGGATGCACGAACTTGTGATAGGCAATACGAAGGCAATACTGTATCCTGTCAGCGCCTATCCGCAAAATTACATAAATGAAAACTTTCGTAATGTAATAACGCTACTGGGCTGTCAGACTCATCATTCCTTCGGAACTCGTATTTTCTCATGCTAAAGGGTTTATATACAATGCTTCCATCCCCATCACCCCAAACTTCTTGAAATCCACCCCCCCGCCCCCCTTGCACAACTGAGACTCAAAGGTGGAGTGGTCCTTGAATATTCCGCATACTTATTACTGAGGGCATCGTGCCAGTCATGTCTGAACTGCGTAAACGCCAGGATCCTGGCAAAGTCGCTGATACGGACCCTCAGAATGTTCTGCCCCGAAGTACTTCTGTACTGTCTTCTGTGCTGTCTGGATTCGACCGTCCCCGTCTTGTAATCCTGATATTTCTTGCTGCCTTTGCAGCTTGGTTCCTATCCCCCGAGGAACCTTCGTCACTCTCGCATTCATACGCAGTTTGCTCCTCATCAGGTGCTCGTATTTACACTGTGGATCATGCCGTGCCAAACGCCCAGTGCCTTGTTGTGGATGGGTCTTTAATACTGGACATTGGTTCATTGGGTATGTCAAAATAGGCAAAAGCCCAACACAAGAAGCCGAATTAGACTTATCCATTACTAGATGATATTATGGTACGTTGGGTTGCCAGAGGTCGCCTCCGCTCTTCTCTTCGAATACGTTATTTGGACAAATCTTCGATCGTGGTTCCGGGACTAAGCGGTAAGCTGCGAGTAAAGAAACAACTATTTAAAACAACTTTTCAACACTTCAGATTCACATGCACACATTCTCGAATACGGTGCAAGTAAGCAACTTCTTCTTGAAAGTGCCAAGACGATCAAAGGTTTGCATAAGAATGGCTCGCCCCGGAAGCGAACTGAGTAGTGTAACCGCAATTCAGATACAGTTGCACTCGTCCGACAACATATTTTGGACAACAATGACATACTCAATGACCCTTCAAAAATTATTGAAGGTTGGGGATGGGACCACACTTCCTGGCCAGTGGAAGAATGGCCAACCTCGGTGAGCTTCGTAAAATCGTGTGCCACACGAATCTAGAATTCATTACTTTGCAGGACGATCTAGATATGGACCCGATAATCCGCGGCCGGCCAGTCATCCTACAAAGCAAGGATGGCCATGCATTGTGGCTCTCGAAGAAGACTTTTGCATTGAACTCTCCATGGCCATCAGAAATAGAAGGTGGTGTCATTATGAAAGATTCATCTGGCAATCCAAGCGGTTCTGTTCTTTCCTTGCGGACATATTGCTCAAAAATAGCTTACAGCAATCATCAGGTGTTATTCTTGACAAAGCCCAAGACCTTTTACAGAAACCAGATCCGACTGAACAGGACTTATTGAGACGTTTCGACGCCACGGTCAAAGATGTCTTGTCTCATGGTTTAACCTCCGTCCATGATGCGGGGTTCAAGCCTATTTCGCTCGAATTTTTCACAAGGTTTCCTAAACATCCTGGTATAAAAACACACTTGACGTTATTCATGCAGACAGGCGGCGGCAGGAAATCTTCCCGTAAGTGTTCAAGGATGCTGTCATCGTGTAATTCACAACAGCCTATAGTTTCGAATTTATGGGATGAGATATTTCAATGAAAACGATCCTTACTGGGGAAATCTCTCAGAACCTATTATCAATGCGGGCGATGGCAGGCTAAATGCTCGCAGTGTCAAGATCTTTGCTGACGGTAAGACGGTGCGGTGACAGTATTAAGCTGTCAAACTGACTAGTCATTCAGGTGCTTTACGCTCTGGTGGAGCAGCGGTGAGCATATCTTTGGCCGTGTTTGTGTCTTTCTTGATGTCTCTCAGCTCCACGAGCCGTATCATGACAATCCCCACACGAAGGGATTCATGCGTGTGGACCCCAAAGTCTTGACTGATGTTGTACCCAAATTTTTAAGAGACGGATGGCAGGTTGTAAGTACCGGCGATCGCAAAAATCAAACAATACGTCTCATTTGTTTTCTGGAAGAACATCCATGCAATTGGGGACTACGCCAACGGTGTGGTTCTGGACACATTCGAGGCTGCCTTGAAGGACGTCGATGTAACTGCACTCAGACCTCGCCTAGAACATGCCCAAATTCTGACGCAAAGTGACCTGGAACGTGTCGGGAAGCTTGGAGGTGAGCATTTTAGTCTCCTTGATGTCAATGGAAGTAGAATCGTCGCTATTTAGTAATTTCAAGCATTCAACCTACGCATGCGTACGTTCAGTTATTCATCCGAACGTGCTCGCTACTCACATGTGTCATGGGCGGAATAGCATCAGCGATATGTGGTTTGCGGAAGAACGTCTTGTGAGTTGATGGGAATCATACCTACCGGCGTTTGCAGGTGTTCATCGTTTTCCAGGGTTCTGAGCGAGTAAAGGGTTTATATGCCTTCCGCTCCTTACTCGACCACGGCTCTCGGCTCGCCATTGGCTCTGACTTCCCGGTGGAAGACATGAACCCGCTCGCTGGGTTCCATGCAGCCATTACGAGACTATCACCTGAAGGACAATCGCCCAATGGCCCGTCGGGATGGTATGGCTTTCTCGTCCAAATATTCCCCATTCAACTCATGTATGTTTCGCAGGTTTCCAGAACAACGGCTGACTCGCATGGAAGCCTTGAGAGGTACTTTATGAGAGCACTCAGATATGCGCGTCACTGATATTGAAAATAATCAATAGGCATGACGATCGATGCTGCATATGCTTCATTTAGCGAAGACAGCCTGGGTTCTCTTGTTCCAGGAAAACGGGCAGACTATGTGGTGCTATCACAAGACATCATGACTGTTCCTGTCGATCAAATTCTGAGCACCAAAGTTCAAGCCACGGTGATCGATGGGCGTGTCGCCTTTGGACAGGTTTAAGACAGAAGTGGTGGATGGAGGTGTGCTAGGGTGCGACCAAAATTTAGTCTTGAGTTCTATACAGACGGACTCCCTTGCTTGCCCCCAATTAAATAATGTTCTTGTTTTGCTTTCGATGTTTGTCATGTTTTGTTGTGCAATCGATCGTGTTGGTTTATATATAAGATGGCATTCGGAAATAACCGAAACTAATTATATGGTCCACGACGCGTCTCGACACGTCCCCACATTTACCTTTTTCATTACTGATAGTATTTTGGAACACCTTCTGCATCATCAAGTCTAACGCTCTCGCTTGATAAATTTATGTCTGCGTTCCAGTCACCAGTTACGGGCGAGAAACGAAAGCTGCCACTCGATACTTCAAGCAGGAAGAAAGTCGCGCTTGAGAGTACCCTCGGAGGTCCCTCGACGTGTCGTGCGAGCGGTAGTAATGGAGGAGAGGAGTACTGGATGATTCAATGGTATGTGTGAGTCCCAATTCGAGTCCTTCGTGTTCACCTCAAGGTACTAGGAGATACCCCCAATACAAGAAACACAAAACATGGGAAGGAGATGCCGTTCTGGTTCTCATAGGCATCAGAGGTTCCATGTTCGACCTAGAAGGAAAGATGTACGTTTCCTTTTCTGGACAAGAAGACTGAGGATCAAGACTAATCTGCGTCGTCGCGCCTACAGAATGGGGGCTGGCTCCTTAAATGCGCCCAAGGCTGAGGAAAATGGAGAATATACCTTTGGAGGGAGAGAGATCAGGATCGATCATTCAATTTCTCGTGGAGAATACATGTCTGGAAAATGCTATGGTCGAGGAAGCGCGCCATCTCTTGCGATGACTGACAATAACTCCGTGAAAGCTTCTTTGCGTGTCACTCCTTTGCCATCAACGAAGATGAATGTACCTTACAAGATGCCATTGAAAGCTATAGACAGGAAGGCCATCGATCTTCATCCTGTCAATCTTCTGTCCACACGGGACCCCCCCTCCACAAGCTCTTTGAAAGCAAGCGCGCCAGCCACTTACTGGACTGCTAACTGGTGAGCACGGAGCGAGACTATTGCATATATGCTGACTTTCGTAGGCGGAAGCCGCAGAACAAGAAGCATAAGACCTGGGACGGCGATGCATTCGTTAGCCATGTCGGTGACAAGCTCACTGTGATATCAGAAAAGGGGAAAATGTAAGTAGGATTTAATTATCTCGTCGGCCACCTCCCACTGAATGGCCGTCAAGACTTGGCCGTAAGGAATGGGACGGACTCGCTCTACACAGCGGGTACGGCTTCAGCGCCGGTGGCAAACAAATCGAGTTAGATTCACAAGTGCTAGCATCCCGAATGCCTTCTGTCACTGGGGTAGAAGATGCATTACCGGAACTGGAGGAAGATGTGCCGGCAGTGCTATCCTCACCATCCAAGCCCTCGTTTTTGCTTCACGTGAAGGGCGCTCTCCCTGGCAAAGAGAATGATATCACAGTCGCATCTCCAAGTGCTTCAAAAGCGTTTGTGCCCCCCGCGTCGTTTTATGGCCAGAAACCAAATACAAAGCCCGATGGACCGTTGTAAGTTCCTTCAACTTCTTATTAACGTGGGTCATAAATTGGCTAGGCATGATCCTGAAGCCGAGGGAGCAATTGTCATGAAAGCGACAACCTCAGAACATGCTCAAAAGTTCAACAAGAAGTACGCTCTAGTGTCACACTTCTATTCGAGCAAACCTGAGATATCTTTGCAGGAACTTGCCCATTGTAGCAGTCGTCCTAGATCCTATCATTGCAAGACATCTTCGTCCACATCAGATCGAAGGTATTCATGCTATTTGAATATGTTATTTCTTTGATGCCACAATATGTTGCAGGCGTCAAATTTTTGTATGAATGTGTCATGGGCCTACGAAGACATGAGGGTCAAGGGTGTATACTCGCCGACGAGATGTATTTGTTCAATCTGTCCGTTTACGTGTAATCACTGATATTCGGGTTCCAGGGGTCTAGGGAAAACCCTGCAGGTCTGTTCGTTCACTCGACATAGTTTCCAATCGGTGACATCTTTTACAGACAATTGTTCTTGTGTGGACACTTCTCAGTGAGTTCGCTGTCTCATATCTATATCACGATCTCCAAGCCGTCCACAGAGCAGAACCCTTACGTTGGCGCTGGGCCAGTAATCGGCAAGGCTTTGATTGTATGCCCTGTATCGTTGGTCAATGTCTGTGTCTATTCTTCAGTGGCCCTCGCTATGTTCTGATTCGTAAGCAGAATTGGCGTGCTGAATTTCACAAGTGGTAGGACAGAATCGTGTTGATGCGAGATTTATTTGAACTTGGACTTCAAGGTTAGGGAGAGATCGTGTTGGTGTTTTCACAGGCGACAAGGATAAATCCACCATCAAGCAATTTCTCAACTCGTATGTGTTGGCATCAATTGATTGGGCTCCCCACTCATTGAAATATCAGACGGTTGCATCAGGTTTTAGTCATTGGCTATGAGAAGCTTCGAACTATCATGTAAGTAGCACATCTTTACACTGCTGTGCATTTATTTATGCTAGTCAGAGACGATTTGGCGTATTGCAAGTGAGTATTCTTTCTTCTGTGGCAGTGAGTGCTAATCTAAGGCTCCGGTTAGTCCTCCGATTGGCTTAGTTATTTGTGACGAAGGTCAGTTGATGCGGGTAGAATATACATGTTATTGACTGCTCGGCAGGACACAGACTGAAGTCATCAAACAATAAGACCTCGACAATGTTTAAGTCATTACGTACCGTTCGAAGAATCATTCTGTCTGGTACTCCTATTCAGAATGATTTGGGTGAATTCCATGCCATGGTGCGCATGAGGCACCTCTTTTATCACCTTCCTAATGCTAACTTATCAAAGGCGAACTTTTGTAACCCAGGGCTGCTCGGTCAGCTGCAGAGTCTTACTTCACAAGGAACGATCAATTAATAGGTTAATCGCAGATGATCACGCTACATTCCGTAGAGTTTATGAGGTTCCTATCCTCAAAAGTAGAGCACCAGATTGCACAGAGAAGGAACTCGAGGTTGGCGAGGCTCGGTCAGCTCAGGTTCGTGGAATAATTGTGTTTCGTTCTGCTGCTGAAGGGCACCAAAAGTTGTCTTTGATCGCGAAAAGCTTCGTATTGCGACGGGAAGCCAGCATTCTCAAGAATTATCTTCCACCAAAATGTATCCTATTTCCCTAACTGCAGCTCAAATATCTGACGAGCTGAACAGATGAATATGTTGTGTTTATCACTCCGACGCAACTGCAATTATCCATATTCTCGGCTATCCTTAACCCCGATAAGCTAGATAGACTGATTGATGGACCGACCGCAGAGTCGCTTGCATTGATCAACATGCTCACAAAAGTCAGCAATAGTCCCGTGTTGCTCAAGGCCCAAGTAGATAAGGCAAGAGCGACAAATACAAATGCAATTCGCCGCCCAGGTATCGATGACGCCTTGAGTTTATTACCTAAAAATGTCCAAGTCGAAGACATCTCCATGAGCGGTGGGCCTGATGTTCTTCAATGAGGTTTGATTGGCTGATTCATCTTTATATCAGGCAAGCTTCTGGCGTTGTCACATCTCCTCAAGGCCATCAAAGAGGTAAGTCTGCTTGACTAATTATACAGCTTGATTTGACCGCTATTTAGCGCACGCAAGAAAAGTGTATCATTGTTTCACATTATACATCAACCCTCAATTTGATCGAAGCCTTCTGCAAGAAGAAGTCTTATACTTACTTCCGGCTCGATGGGTACAGTTTTTATTCCATGTTGTAGTATTTTCGGTTTTTGTCTCACATCACACCGTCATAGTCAGACACCAGCGGCGAAAAGGCAAGAATATGTCAACACCTTCAATAAATCATCTCAGTACAGCCATTGTAGGTTACTTAGTTCGCACTTATGAGCGCCAATCTAACCTTGTTGGGAGAAGTTCTATTCCTGCTGAGTTCAAAGGCGGGCGGCGTCGGACTCAACCTTATCGGCGCGTCAAGATTATGTTTGATAGATTCCGATTGGAACCCGAGGTGTGTGGCATATATAAGGATACAATAGCCCTAAATGAGATATTCCATTCAAGTCATGACCTTCAGTCCATGGCACGCATTCATCGGTGAATAAGCAAATCATCAAAAACATCTTGTCCTTATCAAATATCATAGCGATGGGCAGAAACGGCCAGTTTTCATTTATCGATTTCTCACTGCAGGAACAATCGATGGTGAGTGTCTCTGCTGACCAGATGTGTAATGCGCTTATATCCCATCTGGGAAGAGAAAATCTATCAGAGGCAGGTGACCAAGATTGGACTCAGCAACTGTGAGTGAATTATCTGTTCTGTCGAATTCCGGCGCTCAATTATAGGTGTCAAGCTCTTATGGGTTCGGTAAGCCAATATTTTGTTTTTTACGTGATAGAGTTTATATCATCACATTCAAGGGATCATCCGGCTCAAAGTCAGACTCATTTTCACGGAAAGACGTACTTCTTTTTTGTCTAGGAGGTGACTGGTAATTGACGTACCAATTTACAGCTTCGGGACATTTTCCGAGTCCATCCTGAGACAGGCTGCAACACTCACGACCTCTTAGATTGTGTATGCGATGCCGTTCCAAAGCATTTCGATGACAACATGACGAGCGCCTCCGGGAACGATATAGAAGTAGGTGAGGATTACGACGACGAAGATTCAGCAGGAACCGGCTTCGTCAATGCATCACAAGTCAAACTTCGCCACATCGAGAAGATGGATGGAGCAGTAAGGCTTTCAATTCGACTCTTCACCATCCACAGAATTATGCTGACCATGGTTCTGCAGTACATGAAGAAGAAACAGGCGGAGCTTGCATCACTTGGAGAGTGGACACACATCAATTGCCTGCGGAGATTAACGAGCGACAATATCCACGATGTCATTCTTCGGCATCTCATTCTTCCAAGTGTGAAGGATGATAACGAAGACCTCGCGCAGCCTAAATCAAGGCTCGATTCACTTTTGTCGTCTGTTGACCTAGACAACATCACAGGCATGGATGAAATAGCACAACCGTTGTCTGTTCGTGATGTCCCTGGCGGCACCATTTCGTTCCTTTTCGAAAAGACGTCCGTCTCCACCTTGGAAGAGAACAATGTGGAAGAGGACTCGATGGTTTGATAACACTTCATCATTTTTCTTGATACTTACGACCTCCAAATTGTGCACTCTACATACAAAAAATTTCTAACTAGAGGATACGGCTGTCTTCTTCCTCTTGGTCTGCATACGGGACAATCAAACGAACTAGACTTTATATACAAAAGAGATGATCCAGATCACTTGCAGGAACGAGATTGTTGAGCATATAACCGACTACAAGAATGAGGGTTTTAGTCTCACTGTCAATAGCAGTATATGCATATTAATAGTACTGATATACCCCACCATAAATCTCGTCTAGAGCGAGTACGTTGTGCTACGAGTCAATGTTACAGGTGTCACACGGCACGTGACCATAACGTTTCGTGTTAACCGTGACGAAGCCCCAGGCTGGTCCCTGCTGCAATCAAGTACTCTTCAACAGTGTGCGCCCAGGACCTTTGGGAGGTAACGCGATTTTGTTCTGCTCCAGATCTTATTCAACGACGCAGGTCGCCAACAATCTCGTGGTTAATTAAGAATTTTCGGAGAGGAGCCATTATAGGAAACGCGGCTTTCGTATCAACATTGACGCCAATCGACGAGAACCCAGAACTCCGCCTATCGATATTTCGTATATGGTTATTGATGCAACTACCCTTTCTACCACTCTTTGTTTATGATGGTGATGAAGGACTTTGATACTTTTCAGGCTCTCGGCGAAGCGGAAGCTGAGTAGTTCATGTCAACAAATACGCCATTATATGGTCTTGACGGATGATGTAGACGCGCTTTTTTTCAGGTATCAAGAAGCAAGCCTCTCTGCCTCTCTAATAGGATGAGGAAGATGCTAGCGGCGTGCCCCCCGGCAGGTTCGATTGGCTGTTTAACCAGGTTTGGCATCTGTTGTGAGGCACTCGCCGGACGACAAGATGAGACCCGAGAGACTCTCACCATTCCGAGACAATTTCGCTGTTGGCTCCGAGCTGATAAAAACAGTAGGTCATATGCACCAGCTTCCAAAGAAGAGAAAGACACAATCGACTGCAACTCAATTCCAGTTCATCAGCCCATCGAGTTGCGATATCTCGCATCCCCATGTTTAGCCCTGCTTCAATCTCAATGTCTCGAAATTCTTCGACGATTTGGATGAAGAAGAGATTTCTGGCTAATATCTGTCTCCAGCGGGAAATTTCTAAAGCCCCTGCCCTCTTCGATTGTGATTCCGAAGTGCGCTCCCGCCCTTGATACGTACGCACCAAAGAGGCAAGGCTATCCTCGGCCTTCTTACCAGCAGGGGTGACCTAACCATGGACAACGTAGAGATGATGATTGGCCTTGCTTGATGGTGAACGTGTAAGGTGACATTCCCCCTTCCCATATTGATCATCGCATCGAAAGTTCACGGGATCAAACATGAGGTTTGACTTCTGTATAATGATTATGATTTGTGGTAATAACCGTCTAGCGGCATTTCATCTACGTAACCCTGGCGATCTTTCTGAATGCACATCTTACGGCCCCTACACCTTCATTTCTCCTGACAACTTCTCACACTCGAACCCCCTGTAAGTAACTCCTTCAGCTTGCGCATCAACGACACGAGCAGGCTGTGCCCTCTCATCCATGCCTGCTTCTGCCTGTCAGCAGTGAAAGTCTTGACGAGGTTGCGGATCGTGATGCGCGATTCTTTATAAAGGCCTTTGTGTCTGTCGTCCGATCTATTGGCAGCGGTGATGCACGCATGACCGGCGACCTTTATCTGATACTTGTTGAAGGTGCCCTCATTTCTCTGCCACCAGTCCTCCATCCTTTGTTCTCTTTCAAGGTTTGTGACGGCGAGAACAATGGGAACCTCCTTCTTGCAGAGGAATTCGTGAAAGAGCCAGTAATTGCCTTGAAGCGTAGTAGTGATTTTGCCGGCGCGAACGCAGAATAGAAGGAGATCGATGCCGCCTCGCCTATCCAATTCCCTGACGAGCTTATAGGCATTTTCGACAGATTCGAGGTACGCTTTGATTTCCAGCTGCGATTCGTCGAGCCCGATGGTTTCGAAAACCGTATACGGGTCACCATCGAAGTCGATGGTATACTCTTTCCACTGCATTGCACAACGTTGCGTGTCAGGAGATGTACGTGCTACCTCCTCTCCCGCCATGAGGTTGACGAGTGAGCTTTTTCCTGCTCCCGTTTCCCCAAAGAGTACGATAGTTTTTTGCCTGTTCTTGCTAATCAAAGTTAGCAAATTGTGGCGCGAGGAGTAACCGGAAATCGAGTACCTCGCGGCCATTTTAGGAGATACCTGTCGAATAGTGTGTTGCCTTTCGCTGGCATCCAACGGATGACGTTGACCCCCTTTTGAGCGACACTTCTCGATAAGTTGACAGACGGCGTGGTACGACTGTTTGTGGCGCCGCTCGAGCTCATCCCCTGCATATTTGTCGATAGTAGCTGTGGTGACACATGCGTGGCCAGCAAAGGCCATCCCCAAGTCTGAGATGGATCGCACGTTATCCCTCCACCATTCTTCCATTTCTGGTTCCTTGTCTTCTAAATTCGTGACAACAAGAACGATTGGAACTCTCTCCTTCACTTCTGAGCGGATTAAATTGTAGTTGCGATAGAGCGCCTTCGTCATTCTCGCACCCCGTACACAGTACATGAGGAGATGGATGTCAGTTTGCTTCATAAGATCTCGAAGGAGCGTTTTCAGAGCTCTTCGAGCGTCCTTATCAGAGACTTCTCCTTCAAAACCCTTGCCGAGACCTGTAATCCGGTTCAGCAACACACACCAGAGAGCGGCGAGCTGCACTGACCGACTGTATCGAAAAGTTTTACCTTCAAGGTCTCGTTCTGACTCGGAATTGAAATGTCGTATACATTTGTTTCAGTCGTATATCCCACAGCGGTGCAGGACACCGTTCGCGTCCCAGCGACCAAATTGATCAAGGAGCTTTTACCAGCGCCCGTCTCTCCAAAAATGACAACATTGCAGGTTTCCTCTTTGTGATTCGAAGCCTCATTCTGTTTTTGAATACGAATATGATTTCGCATCAAATCTATGCTGAGGAAGTATCAAAATTATCACTTACAGTACATAGTTTTCCACCAACAGACGACATTGCAGAGATGGATCAACTCTAGACAAGACAGGAAAAAGCGAAGGGCAGGTCTTGACTTTGCGTTTGGTGTTTTTGAGGTACTAGTATCTCCCGATTAGTTGAATCATCGTCAGTAGTAAGTACGTCAGACTCGGACGTACGTTCAGGTGCCAAATCAGGGAAAATGAACTACGACGCAAGGGTACTGCATGTTCCATACGCTGTTAAAACGATGTTGGATGTACATGCTCTAAGTAGCTGGAGTGAACGTTAACTGTCGCCCAGGTGCAATGGCTGTGTAGTCCTTGATAAGGGTATGACATTAATTAGCAATGCAGAAGGGGGTCGACCGATGATGTATCATGAGGTAATTGATAAAGCTACAGACCAACATAAGACGTATTACAAACGCGAAGCGCCAATTTTCTCTTTGAAAAAGCGGTCGCAGTGACGTGATAGTCGCAGCGTGCGTGATTTAATGTCTGGCCATCCCTGAGGCCCGAGGCCCAAATATGAGGGAATAAGTCCTGGCTAAGGGACTACGAAGGTCGATGAAGTGCACTAGCGGGCATCCTGTAAATATTGTGTTAATATGACAGACGGCCAAGGCTATCGCAGGTACTGATCAGCAGGCCATCGCACACGGAATATTGCAGTGTCAGAACTCCCACAATTTTGATGCAGGAAGGTGAGTTTTTGCCAATTGATGTGTTACAGAAATGAAATGCATAAAGTAAGCAAAAATTGGGTTATCAAAGATTCATGCAAACCTTCGACACCACACAGCGCCATAAAAGCCGCGGAAGCTGGGAAGTCCACCTGCCGCCGACATGTTCACTTGCACACTCGTGAAGAGGTTGGCATTGCCGTCAAGATTGTACAGGATTTTGAAGCATCCTTCGCATGGACACCTCCGCTCTCAACCTATCCACGTGATGCGGATGACCTGGTTCAGAGAGTATCTCGCATGACGACGTTACTGCCGAATTTGCGGCTCCCAACGAGTTGAAGAAGACTGAAGAAGTTAAAGTGCCGGATCCGGAGCAATGCTGGAGGGAAATGTTTTTGAGTTAGATCGGGTCGAACAAGGAACGTCAATACCACAGGCTATTCTAGCTAGATTAGGTTGAGGTGGTTGATTACAATAGCGAGGATGATGGATGGGACGAGGCAATATCATTGATGTCATCGTTTGGAATGAAACATGTTTGGTTTACGCTCCGAAGTATGACTTACATCCACTAAAGAGGGAAAGTGTTACGTATTCGGGGGTTCCGCCGGCCACGATGTTGTAACAATTTTGTGGCAAACACGAAGGAAACCGATTCATGCTCGGATATCTTTCTAAAGTTCACACATGAGACATCCAGTTCCCAGGTTGCGCCATACCAGCGCATGGACATACAAGTTGATAACTGCAACGACAGTTATAATCGGATAAGGTATAAGTTCTTTGGGAGGTCAAGCTAGTTTTGCTTGATCATATTAGCCACCTGTTCTGCAACGTCTGGAGATATGCCACAACGCTCCGTGAGACGAGGGACAAGATCCTTCCTTCCCACAATCGAACTCCGTATAAGCAACCCCTTCAGCTTGCGCATCAACGACACAAACAGGTTGTCCCCTCCCATCCATGCCTGCTTCTGCCCGTCGGCCGTAAAATTCTTGACAAGGCTGCGAATCGTGACGCGCGATTCTTCATAAAGTTCTTTGTGCCTGCCTTCCAATCCATTGGCGGTGGTGAGGCACGCATGACCAGCGACCCGGATATGATATTTTTCGAAAGCGCTACGGTGCCCCTCCCACCAGTCCTCCATCCTCTGCTCTTTTTCGAGGTGCGTGATTGCAAGAACAATTGGAACCTTTTTCTCGCAGAGGAATTCGTGAAAAAGCCGATAATTGCTTTGAAGCGTAGCAGTGACTTTGCTGGCGCGGACGCAGAATAGAAGCAGATCAATGCCGCCTCGTCCATCCAGTTCCTTGATGAGCCTATAGGCATTGTCGACAGATTCGAGATACTCTTTAGTTCCCAGCTGAGGTTCTTCGAGCCCCCTGGTATCGAAAACCGTATACGAGCCACCGTCGAAGCCGATAGCATAGTCTCTCCACTGCAACGTACAGCGTTCCATGTCAGGAGATGTGCGTGCTACTTCCTCTCCCGCCATGAGGTTCACGAGGGAGCTTTTGCCTGCCCCCGTCTCCCCAAAAAGTACAATAGTCTTATTCCTGTCCTCGCTTGTTAATATCGAACAAATGCATCTAGAGACTACGTGCCTGTCAGGAGCTGGTGGTACGGTGGTACCCGAATGGGAACTCGAAGTCATGCCATACGGCTTAGTCCTAAATATCAATATGAGAAACTACAGTACGAAAAGTATCTGAAGACTACGAACTCTGAAGCCATTGAAGAGGGATGCTCCTGATAGTGCTCAATTGAAGCGTTTTACCGACACTGAATGATGCGGCAGCTCTTATAAAGATAGACGCAGACTTGCAGGAGACCACGTTTCTTGCGCCCATCATTCAGACGCCAACCCGTGGTATTGAAAACACCATATTTTTAAACAACTCGAGGCAAACTCGTGTTGGGCTCGAGGATTTGATTAGTATGAACCACCTGGCGAAAGAGATAATAAGTTATAGTTCTTGAAACCCGAATCTCACGTTCATAGTGTGCATTGATCACGGGCAACGCGGCAGCAACTACGTCAAAACTGCGTATAGGGCTGATCACTGCATGAAGTTGTGCTGTTCCCACTACATAACAAAAACCCATAGTTTTCGCTTGTCAGAAAGAAGTTTGATGCTTACGGCGTTGGTGATGGAGCAACGTGATTGGTGGAATAAACTTATATCCATAGTAAAATGTAAATCCAATAATGCGGTAGTGTCATGGTTGTGAATCAACTTGCACTGGCGATAGGCACTCGTAGATGAGGTTTAGGGCAAGCAGGTACCTCCAGCTCTTTGCACGGAGGTGCCACATACATTTTGACAGCAACCTGCTGACGGCAGAGGACCTCCGGAATGATCATACTAGGTCTGAATCACAGTATTGTGGATGTTGCTTACCTGTGTTAAAAATCACGAGTATTCAACCTCTTTTGTAGGTCGAATGTGCCTGCCGGTTGTCCACAGAGTCCAGCGACACAAGCACTCAGTGCAACATTGTATGCATGACTGGCAACAGATATCTCATGTTAGTACATGAATGTACGTTTGCCCGGGCTTACCTGTGCCGGGAGACCCCTCGACTTGCGCATTTACATAATGCGATTTGACTGAAATTCGAAAAATAATTGTTTGCAAATATGTGCTATGTACCGATCCGTAAGGGTAAGGCCCGACAACGACAGTCTATAATCGGATGAGACATAAGTTCAATGGGAGTTCAAGCTACATTTTGCTTGATCATATTAGCCAACTGTTTTGCAACGTCTGGAGATATACCACAACGCTTCGTGAGATGAGGGACAAGATCCTTCCTTGTCAGATGCGAACCCCCACTAAGTAACTCCTTCAGCCTGCGCATCAACGACACAAACAGGTTGTGCCCTCCTGTCCAAGCCTGCTTCTGCCCGTCAGCAGTGAATTCCTTAACAAGGTTACGGATCGTGGTGCGCGATTGTTCATAAAGAACTTTGTGTCTGCCGTCCAATCTATTGGCGGCGGTGATGCATGCATGGCCCGCGACCTTTATCTGATACTTGTCGAAGGTGGACTCGTTTCTCTCCCACCATTCCTCCATCCTCTGCTCTCTTTCGAGATTCGTGATCGCAAGAACAATTGGAACCTTCTTCTCGCAGAGGAATTCGTGAAAAAGCCGGTAATTGCTTTGAAGCGTAGCAGTGACTCGGCCGGCGCGAACGCAGAAGAGAAGCAAATCGATCCCGCCTTTATCATCCAATTCCCTGACGAGCTTATAGGCGTTTTCGACAGACTCGAGGTATTCTTTGATCCCCAGTTGCGGTTCCTCGAGCCCGATGGTATCGAAAACCATATACGAGGCACCCTCGAAGTCGATAGTATACTCTTTCCACTGCAACGTACAGCGTTGCATGTCAGGAGATGTGTGTGCTACCTCCTTTCCTGCCATGAGGTTGACGAGTGAGCTTTTGCCTGCTCCCGTCTCCCCAAAGAGTACAATATTTTTAGGCCTGCCTTCGCTTGTTAATATTGAGAAAATTACGGAACTTCATCCGGAGACTACATGCCTGACAGAAGAAAGATGATCTGGTGGTCCAGTGTTATTGAACGAAGTCGTGCCATGCGGCTTAGTCCTACATATCAATATGAGACAATTACAATACGAAGAAACATCCGAAGACTACGTACTCTGAAGCCATTTAAGTGGGATGCTCCTGATAGTGCTCAATTGAAGCGTTTTACCGATACTGGATGATGCGGCAGCTCTTATAAAGACAGAGGCAGACTTGCAGGAGATCGCGTTTCTTGCGCCCATCCTTCAGACGCCAACTCGTGGTATTGAAAACGGCACCCGTCAGATTCTCGAACAACGAGGCAAACTCATGTTGGACTCGAGGATTTGATTAGTAACCAACTGTTGAAAGAGAATAAGTTATACTAATAGTTCTTGAAAATCGAATCTCACGTTCATAATGCGTGTTGATAACAGACAAGACAGAGCTGCAACTACGTCAAAGCTGCGTATAGAGCTATTTCTTTTGGTCCCTGCATGAAGTCATACCGTTTTCGAGGGCCAAGGTACTTGCCTAGGTCTGACTCGTCTATATCCCAACATCGGACAGAAGATCGGTAGAGGGACACTTGGGGCAGTGTCAACTAATAACCCGAGTTATAAAACTGAATAAAATTAAATCGGTGTCTATGTAATTATGTAACTGCAACACAACAAAGTTAAATAACAATGAATTACGTCAAGGTGCTAGCTTGTGAGTCGTCAATAACGATCGAGCTCGATTCCATACTCGATGTAGTAGTACTCTCTTCGTCCTCGGTCAGGCGTGACACTGGCTCGTAGAATAAAGCCTCGCTTTGCATGTTTTTCACACCTTGGAACCAGAACTCGTCCTATCCGACCTCAAGCTCAAGACTAATTGAACATGTCGCGGATGCATATCATCTTCTTCTGACCGAAGAAGCGACGAATTTGTCGCAGCCTGCTCAGTGCTGCCTTTTGAACTGAGATGTCATCGATTCATCCTCGACATCATAAACTTCTTCCAATCCTAACATATATTCCTCATGATCGTCGTCACTATCTTGCCTCAACTGCAGCTCTCTAACAGCCGAAAATCAGGACGGTGTAGGGCCGTTGCTCTTGGGTCTTGTCAGCCTGCCGCTTTTTTCCACCCTTAAATGTTTCATTGATGGTATCAACATTGCCAGGGACATATTGACAACCGAACAGATGGGGGTTTGCCATTATCGCATGCTGTCCAAGTCCGTTATACATTTCATTTATGAACACATCCTATCGATGAAAACTCACCTTGTTGCATCAAAATTGTGGGAGTTCTGAGCATGCAGTATCTCGTGTGTGATGGCCTGCTGATCAGTATCTACGAGAACCTTAGCCGTCACATTGACACAATATTAACAGGGTGCCCGACAGTGCACTGATGAACATGATCTCATAGCTATGACTTCTCCCTACCCATCGGAGCAGCTTGGAGAGGTGACAAGACAGTCCCGGGAGAATGGCTCAGAGACATCAATGATAAAGGTGTGGCAACCCCCAATTAGCTCAAATAACTCCTAGTACATTAACCCTACTACAGAATCGCAGATCTATTGAACTTACTTCTTCACCGGTTAACCGGTTATAACCAGGTTAGCTAGTAACAACATTGCTTCGGGAAATTATTCGCCCAGATTCGGGTCCCCAGCCTCAGGGATTGCAAACACATTACATTGTGCATGCTGCTACTATCATGGGCACCACTTTTCCAAAGAGATTGGCGCTTCGCATTTGGGATGCGTCTTGCGCGGTCTTAATCAACTACCTCATGATACATGATCGGTTGACCCCCTGCCGCATTGCTAATTACACCCTAGTTCTATCCAGGACTACACAGCCACTGTACCTGGGGTCAACTTCAGCTACTTGGAGCATGTACAACTAGCCCAACGCATACGCAGCATGGTTCTTACGCCATCCAACGTCGTTCCAACAGCGTATGGAACATGCAGTATCCTTGCGTCGTAGTCAATTTCCCTTGATTTGGCTCCCGGACGTCCAAGTCCGACGTACTGACAGATGCGTTCAACTAATCGGGAGACACTACCTCAAAAACACCAAACGCACAAGTCAAGACCTGCCCTTCCCTATTTCTTATCTTGTCTGAAGTTGAGCCATCTTTACAATGTCGTCTGTTGGTGGAGAACGATGTACTGTAAGCGATGATTCTGGTGCTTCCTCAGCATAAATTTGACGCGAAGTTATTTTCACATCCCAAACCAGAGTGAGGCTTCGCAGGACGCAAAAGAAACCTGCAATGTTGTCATTTTTGGAGAAACGGGCGCTGGTAAAAGCTCCTTGATCAATTTGATCACCGGGACGCAAAGAGCGCTGACGTCCTGCGACGCTATGGGATGTACAGCTGAAACAAATACGTACGACATTCTAATTCAGAACGAGACCTTGAAGGTAACGCTTTTTGATACAGTTGGTCAGTGCAGTTCGCCATTCTTTGTTGGTTATTACTGAACTGGATTGCAGGTCTCGATGAGGGCTCTGAAGGAACAGTCCCCGATAAAGAAGCTCAACAAGTTTTGAAGAAACTCATTCAAAGTCTTCAAGATAACGTTCATCTCCTCATGTACTGCGTGCGAGGTGTGAGAGCTAGGAAGGCGCTCTACCGCAACTACAACTTCATCCGCTCTCAAGTGAAGGAGAGGGTTCCAATTGTCCTTGTCGTTACTTGTTTGGAAGACCATGAACCAGAAATGGAAGACTGGTGGAAGGACAACGAACGACTGATCTCAGACTTCGGGATGACCTTTGCTGGCCACGCATGTGTCACCACGGTGACTATCGACGATAATGTAGCAATTAGGCTCGAGCAGCGCCATAACCAATCATACCTCGCCGTCTGTCAACTTATCGAGCAGTGTCGCAGGAAAGGGCATCGACGTCCACTGTTGGATGCTGGCGAAAGGCAACAAAACACTATCTGGCGGGTACCTCCTAAAATGGCTACAAGGTACTCCGTTTTCAGTTGCTCCTCGTGCCGCATTTTGCCAACCTTCATTAATAGAAGCAGCATCGTACTCACTGGGGAGTCGGTGGCTAGCAATGGCTCACCTACCAACGTCAAGGAAATAGCAACCACGTACGCTGACAAGCAACGCCTCACCCTACAGCGTAAAGATACCATCGACGATTTTGAGGTGTTCAATACCACTAACAGGTACGTGGTCGGATACTGTTTATACTGTATTGATAAGCAAGAACAGGCGTAAAGTTATTGTGGTTTTTGGGCAGACGGGAGCAGGAAAAAGCTCACTCGTCAACCTCATGGCGGGAAAGGAGGTAGCTCACACATCTCCTGACACGCAACGTTGTACAATGCAGTGGAAAGAGTATTCTATCGACTTCGACGGTGGCTTGTATACGGTTTTCGATACTATTGGGCTCGAGGAGCCGCAACTGGGAATCAAAGAGTACCTCGAGTCTGTCGAAAACGCCTATCAGCTCCTCAGGAAATTGGAAGAAGAAGGCGGCATCGATCTGCTTCTATTCTGCGTTTGCGCCAGTAAAGTCACTGCCACGCTTCAAAGTAATTATCGGCTCTTTCACGAATTCCTCTGCTGTAAGAAGGTTCCCATCGTTCTCGTCATCACAAACCTAGAGAGAGAGCAGAGGATGGAGAATTGGTGGGAGAGAAACGAGGGCACCCTCGACAAGTATCAGATAAAGGTCGCGGGACATGCGTGCATCACCGCCGCCAATAGATTGGACGGCAGACACAAAGACCTTTATGAAGAATCGCGCGTCACGATCCGCAACCTTGTTAAGAATTATACTGCCGACGGGCAGAAGCAGGCATGGATGGGAGGGCACAACCTGTTCGTGTCTTTTATGCGCAAGCTGAAGGGGTCGCTTATAGGGGGTTCGCATGTGAGAAGGAAGGATATTGTCCCCCGTCTTACGAAGCGTTGTGGCATATCTACAGAGGCCGCAAAAGAGTTGGCTAACATGATCAAGCAAGACATAGCTTGACCTCCCATTGAACTTATCTCATCCGATATTGTCCCTCATCTCACGAAGCGCTGTGGCATGTCTCCAAACGTTGTAAAACGATTGGTCAATATGATAAAGCAAGGCGTAGTATGTAACAGCTATTTAACATGGGCCTCTTCGATAACCCAATTTTGCTTACTTCACTGTGGGTAGTAGTGTCTGATATTTTGATGCGTCTCGTGCTACTACTCCTCATTCGTTTCATTTCGCGAGCGCTTATTGCGCACATGCAGCATACTCATACTAGTTTACAGTATCACTAACGATCATATCGATCATCTGCATCATCTACAGCGCGTTGATACGCACGTGCACCGCCCGTTCCCCTGGCACGTGGGAAAGTAATACTACTGGCAAAATGTTGAACTCACTTGGACATAATCTTCGCTGTAGCAGTGTCAGCAAGCTCAAGCACTTAGCACTGTGAGTCCGGTTCAAACCTCCAGGTCTGCGATCGTTTTAAATTCACCTGTATGCCAGTCTTGCCAACTCGACAAGCCTTAACCAGCTCCAGCTCCAAGGCGCATGTACGAACTGCCAATGCATAACCAACATGCTGCCATGCTGCAACAGGTTGCATACTAATATGCCGTTCGATGCTAGCTTTCTCGCATCTATAGAACGGCATGGAACAACATGCTGAATACATGAGTCGTGATCGTTATTCAAATATGGCCCCTCGAACACCGGTGTGCTGGGAACATTTACCTGAAGGCATCAGACTAAGGACTCTCAAAAAACAAAACACGTTTGCAAGTCGAGACTGCCTCTCATTTTCAAGTTGAGTCTTTGTGATCATGTCTTCATCTACTCAGAGCCGACCATGTACTGTAAGTGGTGTTTGGCTCTTCGTCCGCATACTGTTGACTTGAGTGCTGACCAGAGTCCCGATTGTATCGACGATATTCGAGCCAGAGAAGTTTTGCATCGCACAGAAACATGCAATATTGTCATTTTTGGAGAAACAGGAGCTGGTAAAAGCTCCTTGGTCAATTTGATCACCAGGAAGCAATCGGCGGCAACGTCCTCTGACGCCTTGGGATGTACCACCAAAACAAATGTGTACGAGCATGACGTTGCATTTCAGAACAAGACCTTGAAGATAAAGCTTTTCGATACAGCCGGTAAGCGCAGTTAATCATTCTTGGTGGGCCTCACTGACTTCATTGCAGGTCTTGATGAGGGCTCCGAGGGAACGGTCCCCAATAAGGAGGCTCAAAAAGTTTTGAAGAAGCTCCTTCAAACCCTTGTGGAGCATGATGGCATTCACCTCCTCATATACTGCGTGCAGGGCACGAGAGAGAGCATGGCGCTCCGCCGGAACTACATGTCGTTGTATTCCAAAGTCAAGGGGAAAGTTCCGATCGTCATCGTTGTTACACGTTTGGAAAACCAAAATCCGGACATGGAAGAATGGTGGAGGAAGAACGAGCAATCCATCTCAAACCTCAATATGACCTTCGCTGGCCACGCATGCGTCACCACAATAACCATCGATGAAAGTGATAGCGTCGACCTCAAGGAACGTAGCGAACAGTCATACCATGCCCTCCGCGAACTTATCGACAAGTGTCGCTTGCCCAATGAGAAAGGTTTCCGCGACGTTGAATGGGCATGCGATGACCATGAAAGGGACCACCCACGAAGCGTAATCGTCTGCGACTCTGCCGTCCCAGCCCCCCTGAATGTTTGCAACATCGCGGGTGTCATTAATGGCGCATGGGTCAGATCCACGGTAGTCATGCGCGGGCATTACTACATGTTCCAGCGCGTAACTGCACCCTATCCACCCGCAAAACGGTCCAAAGGAGGTGTTGGTTTCGAACCTTGCTTGTTAATTTTTTACGTGGACAAGAACGAGTCTGTCAATACGCAGAGAACGGAGGTGCAGAAGTTTCGCAAGGTCTATGCGAAATCCAAGGTCGGCTTAGTTGTTGTGGTCTGCGGCTGCGACAGTGATGAAGATGCGAAAGGATGGTGGGAGGGGTCAAATGACACTGGCAAGGACTCATTGTTAGCCCCATCCATTACCTTCACTTGCTTACCTCGCGATGGGTCGGAACGTTCTGAGAGTGCTCAAGAAGCGCTCCAAAAGTTGATTTGGGAGCTATCTCGCACTGGAGAACCTCGTACTTCCGTGGTCCGAGACCTTCTCAATCGTGTATTGGGGTATCTCATAAGAGTAGTCTAGCATAATTTCCCAAACGTCCGCAGCCTTGAATGTAGATGGTGGTTGGTTCAGACAGCAGGCGATTGAGAGACTTCTGAGTGTTTGGTCACATAACTCTCGAGCCGATACTAAACACATGTTCGGATTCATGAATTCCAATACAGTTCAGATGACACTCTATACCAGTATTATATGAGTAAATTATGGGCGACTCCAAGTCTCTTTCTTCTAGTCCACCCGTGGACCTGCCAACCTCACGCTTTCTTGCACATCGCTTTCGTACAACTTGAACGCCTTTGGAACATGCCCGCAAGCTTGCGAACCTCACATTCAAAAGCCTCCTTCAAATCTGCCCAGGCTAGTAGATGCGGGTTGAGCACTTCGCGCGGAACACCCTCTACCGCGGTAGGAATCTGGAGCCCGAAGCCGCCAAAGGTCTCATATTCACTATTGAGGAGCTCCCCGGAGTGTACGGCATCGACGATGCGCCGGGTGAATTTAAGTGGGCAGCGCTTGCCCGAGCCCAACTTACCGCCTGTCCAGCCCGTGTCGATTAACCAACAGGGCATGTTGTGCTTAAACATGCGCTCGGCCAGCATTTCTGCATAGCGTCCAAGCTGACACAGTAAGGCTTAGCTTAGAAGTTCCCAGGAAAGGATGAAAACCCACGTGTAACACAATGAAAGGTGCGCTGTAGCAGGTCGAGAATGTTGGGATAGGTTCAAGGACACCGTCCTCCGTGCCAGGCGTTTTCCTTCGGAATTGACTCGACGAGTAGCGCCGACGGAAGTAAAAAAATACACTTACGAGGTGTAACCAGCAAGGAAATGGTAGCTTGCTTGCTCTGGGGTAAGTTTACTTACAGGTGGAAGGACACCGAACGCGTCACACGTCAACATGATGATGTTGCTCGGTTGTCTGTCCACCGTGCATGGGATCTTGGCGTTTGGAATGTATTCAATTGGATATACGCAGCGCGTGTTCTCCGTGATGTAGTGTTGCTGGTGAACTGAACTCAGTTTGAACTGACTTCAATTCGCTTCGAAAATGAGGCAGTTCGTTACAACCTGGTTCGTTACACTTCAATCAAAAATTTTCGTAAATGAGCAACCAAATTTGTCTAATCAGATTCTCGCCTGCAAGCCAATGTCTCAGTTATGTACGTAATCAATTCCCGCGACACGTCCATTGACAGAAAAATGAGCATGTTTGCGTCTGACAAAACCCTTCTCCCACTTCGTGGGAGTCGGGGATCGTGCATCAATGTTGATATCCGACGTTCAACATCCTTTTCCTCAATCACGTCTTCTTCCAGTTCGCCATCACCTTCGCCAACTTCATCAAATATGAACGAAGGACATCAACCAACTGCCGAAGAGCTTGATCAACAAGAGACAAAAGCAGTCGAGGAAGATTGCAAGGATGCTAGAAGGGAGTTAGAGCGCTATGAACGTGAGCCACTGACACCCAATGCCGGCGAGCGTGTCACCGATCTTGTGCGTTATTGGGAGGTAAGCGCTCAGCAACCCTGTGACTATGAACCATGTCATCCCATAGCCAGGACTTCTCCCTACACATCGGAGCAGCCTGGAGAAGTAATGTGGTCCCGGGAGAGTGGGACAGAAAGACCCAGAAAGGTCAATGATAAAAATTTGGCAATCCCCAATTAGCTTAAGTAACTCCTAGTACAGACTCCTTCACCGACGACCGTCGGTTAACCGGTTATAGCCAGGTCAGTAAACAGGATTATTCCCTCAATTTGGGCCTCAAAGATTGCAAGCACATTGAATCACGCATGCTACTACTACTATCATGTCCCTGGCACCGCTTTTGCAAAGAGAAAATTGGCGCTTCGCGTTTGTAATGTTTCTTACGCGGTTTTCATCATGATACGCATCAGAGAACTCGTGAGTCTCCCCAGGGTGCTTTACGTTGATTGCGGTGGTTTTCCGACGTTATACATGGCTTTATATGACTTTATATTCCAACCTTTTCTATATATGATCATATATCGGCATATATGACAATATCTGCGGCTCACCAGTCCTCTGATGGGCCACTAATCGGGAGATACTACCTCAAAAAGACCAAACGCACAAGTCAAGTGAAGACCCGCTCTTCGCTGTTTCTTATCTTGTCTGGAGTTGAGCCATCTTTGCAATGTCGTCTGTCGGTGGAGAACAATGTACTGTAGGTGATGACTCTGGGTGTTTCCTCAGCATAAATTTGACGTGAAACTATTTTCACATTCCAAATCAGAATCATAGGACTTCGTATCACACAAAAGAAAACTGCAATGTTGTCATTTTTGGACAAACGGGCGCTGGTAAAAGTTCCTTGATCAATTTGGTCGCCGGGACGCAAACGGCGCGGATATCTCGCGATGCTATGGGATGTACAACTGGAATCAACAAGTATGGCGTCTCAATTCAGAGCAACCTTTTACAAGTGCAGTTGTTTGATACCCCCGGTCAGTGCAAGTTTGCTGCTCAGAATCACTGTTGCTGAACTGGAATACAGGTCTCGGTGAGGGCCCTGAAGGAACAGTTCCCGATAAGAAGGCTCGAGAAACTGTGAAGACACTCATTCAAGATCTTATGAAGCAAAATGACATTCATCTCCTCATCTACTGCGTGCAAGGTGGGACAGCGATGAAGGCGCTCCGTCGCAACTACAACTTCATCTGCTCCGAAGTGAAGGAGAGAGTTCCAATCGTTCTTGTTGCCACAAGTTTAGAACGCAAAGAACCAGAAATGGAACAATGGTGGAGGGATAACGAGCGATCTATCTCAAAATCGAGGATGACCTTTGCTGGTCACGCATGTGTCACCACTATCGATGAAATTGCAGGGGATAAGCTCAAGCGGCGCCACGAAGAGTCACACTACGCCATCTGTCAAGTTATTGAGCTGTATCGCCTGAAAGGGGCTACAAGGTACTCGGTTTTCAGTTGCTCCTTCGTGCCACATTTTGATTAGTAAGAACAGGCGTAAAACTATCGTACTCTTTGGGGAGACAGGAGCAGGTCAAAGCTCACTTGTCAACCTCATAGCGGGAATGGCGGTAGCACACACGTCTCCTGACATGGGACGCTGTACAATGGGGTGGACGGAGTATACTATCGACTTTGACGGTGGCTCGTATACGATTTTCGATACCAGAGGACTCAATGACCCGTGGATCAAACCCGAAGAGTACCTCGAGTCTGTCGAAAATGCCTATCGGCTTGTCAGGGAATTGGATGGACGAGACGGTATTGATCTACTTCTGTTCTGCGTTCGCGCCGGCAGAGGCACTGCCACGCTTCGAAGCAATTATCGGCTTTTCCACGAATTCCTGTGCGAGCAAAAGGTTCCCATTGTTCTTGCGATCACGAACCTCGAGAGAGAGGAGAGGATGGAGGACTGGTGGAAGAGAAACGAGGCCACATTCAAAGAGCATGAGATAAAGGTCGCTGGCCATGCATGCATCACCGCCGCCAATAAATTGGATGGCAGACATAAAAACCTGTATGAACAATCGCGCACCACGATCCGCAACCTTGTTAAGGAATTTACTGCCGACGGACAGAAGCAGGCATGGACAGGGGGGCACAACCTGTTCGTGTCGTTCATGCGCAAGCAGAAGGTGTTACTCACAGGGAGTTTGCCGGTTAGAAAGAAAGATCTTGTCCCTCATCTCACGAAGCGTTGTGGCATATCTCCAGACGTCGCAGAAGAGTTGGCTAATATGATCGAAGCTTCGACCTCCCATTGAACTTATACCTCATCCAATTGTAGACTGTCGTTGTCGGTAATACGGCCTTATCCTTACAGATCGGTACTTGGTACATATTTGCAAACAGTTATATCTCGTATTCCAGTGCGATGGTCAAGCCGCGCATTATAATTATATATATGTTCGATATTACTACCTTCACTCGTCTGTCGCTTTGGGGACCACTCGTATGCGGAGTGCAACAATCGGCGTCGGATGACGCGCGTGACGCATCGATGACGTGTTTTAATGAAGAACGCACACGGATAGCCACTAGCGCTTGAGCGATTGGGAGTGCATGTGGCATGAATTGCTTCCGCGGGATCAAACTGTGTTCTGTTCGACTTAGCATCACACTTTGAGCAAACACAAATATTTCCTTCCACACGCACTTAAGCCCTGCTTGTTTTCATACAACTCGCATAGGATTATTGATCATCGATCATCTATGGCATGTTGATCTGCACCACCCATTCTAAACTACCTCTCTAACACGCGGGTTCGAAATTCTGCCAAAATGTAGAATACGTTGAAATTGAACTAGCCGACATAATTATCCTCAAGAACTTGGACCCCAGATCTGCCATCGCTTTTACCTGTATGCCAATCTTCCCAGCTCGGTAAACCAACTCCAGCTCCAAGCGCATGTATAAAGCCAGTGCATGACCAACATGCTGCAACAGGTTGCACACTCGAATATACCGCTCGAGGCTAGCTTACCCACATCTAGGGAACGGCATGGAACATTCAACATGCTGAATACATGCATCGTGACTGATACTTAAATTTGGCGCATCGAACACCGACGTTCCGGGACATTTTACTTGAGGGTATCAGACTGGGGACTCTCAAAAAAATAGAACACGATTGCAAGTCGAGACTGCCTCTCATTATTTTTTGTTCCAAGTTGAGTCTTTTTGATCATGTCTTTATCTACTCAGAGACGACTATTTACCGTAAGCGGTGTTTGACTCTTCGTCAGCATACTCTTGGCTTAGTGCTGATCAGAGTCTCGATGGTATCGACGATATTCGAGCCAGAGAAGTTTTGCATCGCACAGAAACATGCAATATTGTCATTTTTGGAGAAACAGGAGCTGGTAAGAGCTCCTTGGTCAATTTGATCACTAGGGCGCAGTTAACCGTTCTTGGTAGGCCTCACTGACTTCATAGCAGGTCTTTATGAGGGCTCTAAAGGAACGGTCCCCAACGAGGAGGCTCAAAAAGTTCTGAAGAAGCTCCTTCGAAACCTTGCGGAGCAGGATGGCATTCACCTCCTCATATACTGCGTGCAGGGTACGAGAGAGAGCACGGCGTATCCACCCGCAAAACGGTCCAAAGGAGGTGTCGGTTTCGAACCTTGCTTGTTAATTTTTTATGTGGACAAGAACGAGTCTGTCAATATGCAGAGAACGGAAGTGCAGAAGGTTCGCAAGGTCTACGCGAAATCCAAGGTCGGCTTAGTTGTTGTGGTCTGCGGCTGCGACAGTGATGAAGATGCGAAAGGATGGTGGGAGGGGTCAAATGACACTGGCAAGGACTCATTGTTAGCCCCATCCATTACCTTCACTTGCTTACCTCGAGATGGGTCGGAACGTTCGGAGAGTGCTCAAGAAACACTCCAAAAGTTGATTTGGGAGCTATCTCGCACTGGAGAACCTTGTACTTCTGTGGTCCGAGACCTTCTCAATCGTGTATTGGGGTATCTCATAAGAGTAGTCTAGCATAATTTCCCAAACGTCCGCAGCCTTGAATGTAGATGGTGGTCGGTTCAGACAGCAGGCGATTGAGAGACTTCTGAGTGATTGGGCATTACATAACTCTCGAGTAGACCGATATCGATACTAAATAGTAAATACATATGTTCGAATTCATGAAGTCCAGTACAGTTCAGATGACAACTCTATACCAGTAAATTATGAGCGACTCCAAGTCTCTTTCTTCTAGTCCACCCGTGGGCCTGCCAACCTCACGCTTTCTTGCACATCGCTTTCATACAACTTAAACGCCTTTTGGAACATGCCTGCAAGCTTGCGAACCTCACGTTCAAAAGCCTCCTTATCTGCCCAGGCCAGACGCGGGTTGAGCACTTCGCGTGGAACACCCTCCACCGCGGTAGGAATCTGGAGCCCGAAGCCGCCGAAGGTCTCATATTCGCTATTGAGAAGCTCCCCGGAGTGTACAGCATCGACGATGCGGCGGGTGTATTTAAGTGGGCAGCGCTTGCCCGTGCCGAACTTACCACCTGTCCAGCCCGTGTTGATTAACCAGCAGGAGACGTTGTGCTTAGACATGCGCTCGGCCAGCATTTCTGCATAGCGTCCAGGCTGACACAGAAAGGCTTAGCTCAGAGGTTCTTAGGAAGAGATGAAAACCCACGTGTAACACAATGAAAGGTGCGCTGTAGCAGGTCGAGAATGTTGGGATAGGTTCAAGGACACCGTCCTCCGTGCCAGGTGTTTTCCTTCGAAATTGACTCAGCGAGTAGCGCCGACAGAAGTAAAAAAAATACACTTACGAGGTGTAACCAGCAAGGAAATGGTAGCTTGCTTGCTCTGGGGTAAGTTTACTTACAGGTGGAAGAACACCGAACGCGTCACACGTCAACATGATGATGTTGCTCGGTTGTCTGTCTACCATGCATGGGATCTTGGCGTTTGGAATGTATTCGATTGGGTATGCGCAGCGTGTGTTCTCCGTGATGCCAACGTCGTCGTAATCTGGTACGCGCGACAAAGGGTTGTATACGACGTTCTCCAGAATGGAGCCGAAACGAATGGCATTAAATATTTCCGGCTCCTTCTCGCTCGACAGGTTGATGCACTTGGCATAGCATCCTCCCTCGATGTTGAACACCCCAGTGTCCGACCACACGTGTTCATCATCGCCAATGAGAAGGCGGTTTGGATCAGCGGAGAGAGTGGTCTTTCCGGTTCCGGAAAGGCCGAAGAACAGGGTAACATCGCCCTTCTCCATCCCGACATTGGCAGACGAGTGGAGGGAGAGCTGGCCAAACTTCACAGGTTGAAGATAGTGCATGACGGAAAAGACTCCTTTCTTCATCTCGCCGGCGTACTCAGTGCCGAGGATGACCATTTCCATGCGCTTGAAGTTGATTTCCACCGACGTGGTGGAGGACATGCCCTTGGTGAAGCGGTTCGCAGGGAATTGACCGGCATTGTAGATGATGAAGTCGGGCTCGCCAAAGCTTGCGAGCTCTTCCTCGGTCGGGCGGATCAACATGTTGTTCTTCCAGGTTGTCAGAAGAGGAAATGCATGTGATTGTATTTACATACCATGAAGAGAGCATGATATGCACGGGCACAAATGACCCGGACCTTGATACGGTATTTGGGATCCCACTAAAAACAGTTAGTGCAAGTCCGTGCAGTTGAAACACAGGACTTACACCAGCAAAACCATCGAAGACATAGACGTTGTCACGCGTATTCAAATAGTCGATGGCACGCTCGCGGTTGATCTCAAACGTGTCTGGAAACAATTGCTGAGACAAGGGACCGGCCGGCGTGCAATGGAGTCAACTTACGTTCGTCCATCTTGATATTCACGGAGCCCCACCATATATCATCCTTACTCGTCTCCTCATAGACGATTCGCTTGTCCTTAGGACTTCTACCGGTCTTCTTACCAGAGAAGTTGATAAGTGCGCCGGATGAGGAAATAATTGCGCCTTCATTGCGGATGGCGTCTTCGTAAAGCTGCGCTACAGGTGCGTTGCGCTTCAGCTGGATCCTATCCATGTCAAACCCTGCCTGCGAGAAATACTCGAGGTCACGGCCAATGACTGTTTAAAATATTTAGTGGATAGGAGGTATAGTAGTTGGGTGCACTGACGATTACTATGAAATTCATTGTCAAAAGCTTGGGCGTAATTTTTGTGCAAGATGTGAGGTGTAACATAGGGTGTCTGGTGGGGATGAACCATTGTGGTAGACGAATATGAAGGAGTCTGATGAGGTTGGTCAACAAAGAGTCCAAAAGGTGTAAAGATCAAAACAATAAAACAATTGATGTTGATGACGACGATGATGATCCGAGCAAGATCCGTGGTGAAGGCCGGAGTGAACTCCGCCTGTTCGGGTACCCCGCATGGGATGATTTATGGGGCTGGCATTAATGACAACAGTGAACAAGGCACTTACCCTACGATGCGAATTACGATCGCGAATTAGATGATGGCGGTTGAAACGATATGCGAAACTCGAGCTTTTGGAGGGTTTTATACCAACGACGAAGCATTGCCGGAAGGTCATCCCATAATCTCCCGATGGGTGTCAATGGCTATGTAGCCCTACTACACCTCCACCGTGTTAGTGCCCCTTTATGACCGCCTCTTTTACGCCTCGTTTAGTCTGCTTTCTAGTAATGATGAATATCATCATGATTGCCTGTTCAGCATCGTTCATCTAACCTCTGTAGCACGCCCCCAACAGAACTTCAAAGCTCCGGTTCACTCCGGGCGCTACGTACGACGGGATACCGCCTGACACCGCCGGAACAAGCAGGGACCAGGGTCAATAACGATTAAACCGACTTTATCACGAAGTGGAAGAGGGTAAATTAGTCTGTCACGCGTGCGGTAGCTTGAAGTAAGCAGCGCGAGATTTGCCAGCGCACGAATCATTCTAATTTTTACCTCTCTGCAGTGGTATTCCCGGCTATCGTCTCGCGAACTCGTTCAAAGTTGGCCATAACACCCGGCTCAATATGTGTGATCTTCACAAATCTGTTATCTCATGGTCCGTCTGCTTTCTCGACGCTCACGGACACTGATAATAATACACATGTTGCTTTCGCAGGATCAAACGCTCCGTCCTTCCGGTACATCAAGTAGATGGACTTGGCTCATAAGTACTGACCTACGTGATACGCATCTTTCATTTCCGCTGCGCGCCATCGCTACAACGTCATCTCCCTACGTTACTATGTTGGTTTGAACATCTCTGCCTCAGCACGCTGCTAAACGGATCATGTGATGAAACACTGGCTATTGCTCGTCCTCTGCGACGCTTACATGCTGAAGAACACATCATAGCATTGTCATCCCTACATAGTACATACCGCTTCCACGACCTCCTTCTCTCAACAACATCCTCTTGCTGCCTCGGACGCATCAATGCTCCCATCAACCTGCATCACTTTTCCAGGCTCGCTCGGTGACTTCTGCAGCTGCGACACCTAATAGCCAGATGGTATTCTCACTCGCGGGCCATGTCACATCAACAAGGATCCTGCATGGCGAGCTGTTGGGCATCATAGCCGCGGTTTTACTATCTATTCACGCTAACCCGCAAGAACCCTACTCCGTTTTGACAGATCACAAAAATGCAGTCCACATGATACAAGAAGTACTTCCCGGTGCTCTACCCCACGTCTGGAACAATAGCCAGCGCGTTCCTTGTATCGCTGCTTATTTTCACTTCTACACTTTCCAACACCCGCGCCCTCACTCGTCTGGACCGCCGCTCATACCAACGGCCTTGTACCAGAATGTATCGCCAATGATTATGTTGATCGGATGGCCTCGTTTGCGCAAAACCAACGCGGTGTCATTCCCTGGCAACTTTCTCAATGGATGACTACACTATGTTTGCATCCGGTTATGGTTGTGTTGAAAACAACTTGTTCTCTTTCCTCGTTTCTAGGCTCGAAAATTCTTATGCGTTGAGCGACTCCTTTCGTCCAGCGCGAGCCCTGACTCTTGCACTGTATGACAGTCGTCGCCTGCCGGACTTCCCACACACTCGGGCATCTAGCTCTTTCTCTGCTGTCGTACAATTGTATGCCCCATCATCACAACTTGATACCGCAGAGGTGCGGCATGGGCGTTATCATGATACGCCGCCCTGGTGTCATTTCGGTTGTGATGCCTTTAAGAGCGTTCACCATATTTTTGCTCGCTGCCCGGCCTTCTTGGCTATCCGTCGCGCGCATGGCATGCAGCTGTGTGATGAGACCTCCTCCTGGCTTGAGGGCAAGGCTGCCGATCGTGTGCGAGAGGTCTTGGAACGAGCGGCTCAGTGCCTGTGTTCTGACGACGCGGGGCTTTGGCCACAATATCGGACGCGTTTTTACATGGGTGTGCTACCCCCACTTGCGCGTATTGTGGGCAACATGACTGAGACAGAAGTGGGTGTATTGCCCCCACAGTCTCATGATATGGGCAAATTTGCGTCTGGTAATGCGGGCGCCTTACCCCCGCAGCTGGATAGTACGACGATAGAACCTAAGGTGTTGTCACGATTAGTGCAGGCATGGCACGTGCATAATATTCGGCTTGCAGGACGTATTTGGGGAGAGTACAAATGACGTATAAGATCTCTGAATGCCGTTCCTTCTGATATAGTGGCATATACGTCTTTGGACAGTTATGCGTACTTGTTACCAGCGAGTTTGCGAGCTTTGCTTTGACGGGACGTTTTTGTTTCATTGGTAATTGAGCCATCGAGGAACCTGGTTACCTGAGATTGTGTGAGCGTAGACGGCCAAATATAAAATTCTAAATTCTAAATCCGCTGCGCGCCCAAAGTTCACATACATCATGAGCGGATTGACTATTCAGGTCACAGTATACATAAATACGGCAGACTACATTCTTAGGCTCATCATTTTTCACGTTCTGCCCGGCATTCGAAGCTATTCTTCGTGCGGACAGCGGGAAAATTTACGACGACGGAGACCCCATTTACGAGTTACTCCACTCGCAGAATCAACGCAGATGTTGCGGTCCGCAGTCTAACCCCGCTGTCCTGTATTTGGACAACGAGTCGTCCCGAGCCAATAAAGTTGAAACGCGGGTTTTATCCTCACAGCCTTGTAGGAGATTATTTAGTATGCATATTATTCCTTCATGCAAAGTTGAGAACTACACGATAATGCCCTCCACTCTCATCAGAAAAGTACATCTGGCGCTGAGATTGCGCAATGCGCAAAGCCAGCATAATATTGAGGTTGAAAGGGTTTATGTAAGAGGAGCTATCAGATGTGTTGGATTGAGGTCAGTACGAATCTGCCTAAACCAAAGAGATATTACATCTTTTCTTTGCTGACTTCGCTTCATTTCCTCACAAAGTAGCTGGTCATGTACATTTTTCTTTCGTCATTCACCTTTTATTCAGTGTCTGGACCTTCTGTTGCCGCAAAATTCATGGTGTACTGGTCTCGTCAAACACAGGCGGCGCGAACCAAGCTAGAGCTATGAACTAGATGAACTGTTGAATCGGTGGATACGGCCGCCGGATGTTTAAATAATTAGCTCACACTTTCAGTCGGGATCAAGGTGCCGCAACCCTTTGTCACGACCAGGGCCAGGGCATTAGATAGCAAGATCTAGCAAACACCCGAACTTTCGATATCAAAATATGGTGAGCATTGACACTCGTACATATGATATATTCGTCTAGACCTCGCAGTTCGCCGCAATCTAGATCTCAAATGTGGTGCAAAGATGGATCATAATCGATCCCACCATGTTTTGCATATATACATCAGTCACAAATAGTTATGGGGTGTTTGTAAAATAGCTCGCCCATTACGCAGCGTGGACCGACACAGTACACAGGCGTGGACAGCGCTATATCTAATGGTCAAAGTTCACTAACCACAGAAATGTTCCCATAGTCTAATATAATATGGTGATCTTTGGAGAGATAGGAGCGGGAAAAAGTTCCGTCATAAATCTCTTGGCCGGCCGACAAATAGCGCACATATCACCTGACGCTCACCGCTGACTCTATATTGGACGGAGCTCCAAGTAACATTCGAAAAAGGGACCCGATATCAGGTGTTTGACACGGTCGGCCTCCAGGAGCCCTGCCTACACACCGAAGAGTGCCTTTCCGCAATTTTTCAAATGCATATGGCCTCATCACCACCCTGAAAGAGCGAGGAAGCTTTAACCTCTTGCTCTTCTGTGTCCGCGGAGGTAGAGTAACGGCAAACATGCAGAGAAACTACAGACTGTTCTTCGAGTTTCTTTGCGAGGAAAGGGTCCCGCTTGCACTGGTCGTCACAAGCCTCGAAAGAGAGGTAAATATGGAAGACTGGTACACACGGAATGTGGGCCACTTGGAGAAGTACAGAATTAGGTCCGTGGGACATGCATCCATGACTGCGACGAATCTATTCGATGGGGGGTATAGAGGCAAGTATGAGGAGTCGCGTGGCATACTCTGTAAGGCGATCGAGGTCCACAACAGGTTCGTGCACCGTGAAATCGCTTGACAGATGGTGGATGCCTCCATAGGGATATGAAAGTCGACCGAGTAATGTAGTGCTCTAGGGGGAGAGTGGAGTGGGCAAAAGCTCGCTCATAAACCTTATTATGGGTCGCGATGTAGCAGAAACATCTCCTGACGCCCTGTCATGTACTATTACACATGCTGCATATGATGCGACGATCAGCGGGCAATACTTCAGGCTGTGGGATACGGCAGGTGGGCATTCATCAACTCCGAGATTCTGGAACAGTGTGGATTGATAACCATATCGTTAGGGTTAAACGAGGGCTCCGAAGGCAAAGCTCCTGCGGCCGCAGCTGCAAGGAATTTGGCTCTATTCCTCGGCGGCTTGAACAAGGGAGACGGTGTCCATCTCTGTATTGCGTGCGCGGAACACGAGCCACAAAGGCTTCGCGAACATTACCAAACATTTTCATCAGCCATTGGTGACAGCAAAGTGCCCATTGTTATTGTGGCGACGTGCCTGGAAGACTGGTAACCAGTAATGACAGAGTGGTAGATTCAGAACAAGAACCAGCGTGCGAAATATGGGACGCACTTCCCTGGATATGTTTGTGTTACAACTTTGCCCGGTGGACGTGCTGAATCCCAGGATTTACGACAACGTCGTGCAGTCCTACGAAGCCGTTTGCAAACTTATTCTGGACCATTGTTCTCAGGCCCCTCGAAAAATATAGCTGGGCACTGTGGCTATCGACGAAACGACGATCTATTGTGAATTGGCTTATTTTGTAGGAAGGTCAGGAGCTCGTACATATGATGCTGTACATACGGATTACGCGTAGAAAGATACTACCTGCGAGAAACTCACGGTCGCTCGTGGGAGATTTGCGGTCTGGTTTGCGGTCCCAGCTTCCCGATCGAGCGGTGGCAGTGTTGGACCCCTGGCACCAGACCCACGGCGCGAGGGACGAAGGGAGGTGACGAAGGAGTTCAGAGAAGCGGAAGCGGGCGCAAGGACGAAGGCGAGAGCTGCTGCCGAGGAATGCGGAGGATTCATTTCAAAAGTAGTAACAGTACGCAACAGTACTATAGTCCAGGCATTAGTATTTTAGTTAGCGAGATAATTTGAAGGTGGGTCATAGCTAGGGCTCCGTGAAAAACTACGATGTTAAAAACACTCCGGGTTTTAACGTGTTTTTAACATGTTAAAAACATGTCAAGAACGGAGGTCGATATTCAGGTGTCCAATACCTGTCAATAACCCTAAATATTGTATGTATCATGTATCTGATGCCTTCGGAACAAGTCATGTCATACTTTGACATTTGAGTGGCCGAAAATCCCGAAATATCAAACAAGTAGAATAATTTGGACCCCAAACGTGTGTGTGATATTCATACCATATCATGGACATATCTCACTTACTATATATTGTAGAACAAGAAGCCAACACAAAAACCAACTGTCAAATTTCGAGAACTGACGAGTTCACATTTGGAGGCTGAAATTGATGGCCACACTCAAAAAAGGAAGCTCGGTGCCGACAGCGCACAAACTCAAGAAGATTTGGATCCAGCATCTGATGATGATGGTTGGTTGGACGAGGAAGAGGATCCAGGATTCGAACGCGACCCACTTTACCAGGGCAGTGACAGTCAGACTTTCGTTGGCAGTCAGGATGCTCATCTTGATTCACCTTGCCTGTTGGACTTGCTCTCTGATAGGCCGGTAGAAGGCTCCCACACAGCACCTCCGCAGAATGAATCTGATACTTCGATGTTGCCTTTGGGAGGGCCTGTACAATGGGCATTCACTTTGTCATAGCTTGAACATGTTAGAATAGCTTGAAAAACTGGTTTCTAGACTGTGTAAAAAACTTGTCAAAAACTAGTTTTTAACTTGTGTCAAAAACCCCTTGAGGATAGGCCTGAGTTAAAAACATGTCATAAACCTCGAGCCGAGTTTTTCACGGAGCCCTAGTCATAGTGAAACAAAACAAAACGGAAAGGGACAGACAACGAAGGGAGAACACTGTCAACAAAGAGATAACACTGTTCAAAGGTAGATGGTGTGTGGTGTGAATGTAGTGATCACTGATCACACTGGTAGCAACGAGGACTGCGGACTAGTAGTACTATCTGCTAGTGGTGAACCCTTCCAGCGCTGGGCAAGTGAGCCGCCGGTGGTAAGCAACTCCCTCCACTTTCAGGCAATGTCGACATCCTTGCTCATCAGCTTCGACACACCAGACTTTGCGTACCTGAACATGCCTTGTGCATCCAGGTGGTCAAGGTTGCCACCAAAGAACAAGCATGCAGTGGCAGCGTCTCACGTGTCACGAGCCATCCGCTGACGCTGCAGAGTGTCACAGAGCTTCGTGTATCTGATGTGCTGACCATTGGCGTCAGTCCAGGCCGTCCAGAATGCATCGTCTGATGCAAAACGCAAACACTCCTCCATGATGAACTGTTGGTTGAAAAAAAAGGTGTGTCAGCTGAAGAAGAAGTGTTTTCAAACGCGGAGCTCACCTTCCATTGCCCCCACTGCACTTTCCGCAGTGCCCATGCCTTGCTGTTCTGTCCAGTGCACTTTTTGTACACGTCTCCCCAAAACTTGATGGGGATTCCATTCCTGTTCACCACCAGGTACATTGACTGATGCCACTCTCTGAACAGGGCGCTGATGTCTGTCGAAAACCGCACGGCCGGTGGTGGCATGACCATGGTCTTGTTGAACGCCAGCTCTCTCCCTTCCAACTGGAGAATAGAGAGATTGGAGGGTGGGATGGATTGCGTTGGAATGGCCATCTGAGCGGCAGGTGTAGGTGTTGTGAATGGCTGTGCTGGTGCTGAAGACAACTGCATTGATGTGGTGTGAGGGTGAGGGTGTGCTGGCCGAAGTGGTTGCTGAGTAATGCCGGTGCCAAAAGCATCGAAACTTGTGCGGAGGAGGGGAGCAATCTTGTGAGCAATTTGGTTGCTGATCCCCATCTCAAGGTTGTTCACTCGTTCGATGAGGGTGTCCTCCAGACCTGCAATGGTGTGTAGGCAATGTCATGGGTATCCGGCACCCACTGTGGGTTGTGGGTGTGGGTACCCAGGGGTATGGGTGGGGGTAGGCACTTAGGATACCCACACCCCTACCCACACCCACACAGTGGGTATGTAGGCAAACTTTTATTTTTGCACTTTTCAGAGACTTACTGATGTTGGGTTTTTATTTAGCTTTATCTCTCTCAAATGACTGCCAATCAACAAGGTGAGACTAGCAGTATATTTGTCTCCAGTACTACTACAACATTCATTAAGATATCTACATAAGTGTGTAGTACCAATCATTCATGTCATACCCATGGGTATACCCTCTATGGGTGTGGGTATGGGTAGTCATCCCTGGTATCCATGAATAAACCCACACCCACACTGGTGGGTGTGGGTTTTCGGTGGGTGTGGGTGGGGGTATCACCACAGATACCCATGGGTATACCCACGTCATTCCCTAACGGTGTGTTCCAAGCGCCTGAAGTGCAGGCTCAGGCTTTGTCTGTCCTGAATAAGAAATCAACTTAAAGTCAGCTGATAGCCCGATATTGGAGCCTGTGGACACGCACCTCAGTGGTCAGTTTGTGGGCAGGATATGTGGTGCCTGCAGGTAGCAGATTGGTGTGAGCCGAGAACTGAGGTGCGAACAAGGTGGGCTGCTCTGTAGCTGACAGGAGCATATTTGCTGATTGTGCTGCAGGCCTCTGTGTGCCAACCACTTGTAGGGCATCAGCTGCCTTGTGAGTGGGCCCATCAATGGTCAGTGCGTTCTCCGGCTAGTCACGAAGAGTATGGAACTCACCCAAGCATCGTTATTGTCAACGTCAGCAGGTGTGAGACTCTGCACCACACGGCCGATGCCCTGTTTGCTTCTGTGCTGCACCAAGGTCAGCTCATGCTCCCCAAACTGGGATGTGATGCGCTGCGTGGACAGTTTTGCAGTTCGTCTGCCTGTGTAACTTCCTCTTGCGCCCTTCCTTGCAGGTTGGAACAACCTGCAAAGAGCGATGAGTCATTATGAGCCAGCATACTGATCAGAGCTCATTGGACAGCTCACAGTCTCCAGCTTGTGTCATCGGCAGCATACTCGCGCAGGCGCTCGATCAGGTCAGCTTTCTTTCCTGTTGTCTGTAGGCCATATTCCTTCAACTTTTCTCTCAGCATCTTCACCGTCGTGTCCTGCTGTCTGCAACTTCAAGTCAGCAGCCACCACCGCAACGAGTGATACAGATGAACCAACATGACAAACTCCACTGTCTGTGGCTGCTTGTTCACTCCCAGTGTCTTTCCCAGCTCAGGTAGGCATATAATCTCAGCAGCGGGCATGGTCAATGTGCAAGTAAAACAAGGTGTCATCTGCTAAGCCTTCTGGTTCAAATTAAGGTCATCGATCGGCGATCACAGGGGTTAGTGGCTTATTTAAATATTGGAATGTGTCCCTCAGCCACAATTGAACCAAGATGCCTTGTGTTAAGACCATGCACAAAGGGTAGGACTGATTCTGAGGGGCTTGGCTTCAGCTCGTGCACTGTGCCCCTTACCCGAGTATGTGCCCTTAATTTCAGATTGGTGTCCGAAGAAAGTCTGAAGACGTCCGAAGGCACGGGAAACTTTGGAAGGACTTTCCGGACGGGTACAAGTAACTTCCGGATGAGTGCAGGAAAGTTCCGGAGGAACTTCCGGAAATTACAATGAGGTTTCGTCCTAATACAGATATGTGTAATGGCTACTCAGGACTTGTCCTGAGTAGAAGCAAACAGAGGAAAGGCTGCAAGGACAAAGTCCAAAGCAGAATAGGTCCGGAGGACCACGGGAAAGTTCCGGATGAACTTCCGGAACTTCGGATGAGTGGAGGAGCAGAGGAGCGGAGGAGCGGAGCTCTGGCCTAGGGAGAAACTCCCTAGGCCTGAGATGGATATCAACTAAGTTGGAAGACTAGAACTGATATGAGGACTTAGAGTGAAGACTAGTGCGAGGACTAATATGATATTCAGACTGAGGTACTACAAGACATATACACAAGTTTATATACTAAGAGAAATAACGGAAGGATCAATAAGCAGAGTCCGAGGCTATGTATGAAGCATATGCAAAGGTTAACAAATGTGAGTCAGAAATGAACATAGGTTAATGGATCAGTAAGCATACCAGTAATAGATATAACCGAGGTACCGGGAACAAGGAATACCGGATAGGCTGTGTTAACATTATATGCACAGGAAATGAATCAAGAAGCTTGTCGTATATTGGATAGGAAATGTATCTATACGTCAGATAGGATCGGACTGGACCGGATCGGATGTGGTCCGGATGAGATGCGTGGATATGCAAGATATAATATTAGGGCAATGGGACAAGGGTGAACGATGCAGGCTAGCTGCGAAGGTAAAGGGATCTGGATGTGGATGTGCAGAGGTGCAGGGATCCGGATGGATAGAGGACTGCAGACATGGATAGGATATCCGAAGGTCCGGATGAGGCATGGGAATATTATCGGATGTAGGTCCGGAATACGGGATATGACACCTTGTATACGTATCCCCCCACTTGGAGGTGCAAAATGTTATCTCACAGATGCCGCAGCAATGGTGACCTATGAGGCTGTTGCTGATGACCAGGAAGAGGAGATCGAGTCCTTGATGGCTGCTGTTGACATCGAACACAAGCAGCAAGAGTCAAGTGGCATGTATCTGTGCAAGCAAGCAGAACCATCAAAGAAACGCAGGCTGGACGTGGATGGCATGTCGAAGAACTTGAAGACGGCATCCCAAAACATTGTCGTGAGCAACACTCTATCAGAGTACAGAAGGCATGGCACCCCATCTACACAAGGCAAAGCTCTGACAGATGATCACACTAATTCACACAGGCTGTGGGAGCAGTTCAAACAATTTTGCTGTGACATTGACAAGGTGCAGTGTCCTGACAACATTGAGGCACTCTACCCAGGTCTCCCAGCTGATTTTCCCGAGTGGATCGCGATGTGGATAATAGACAAGTGCGTCGAACAAATGCCTTCCTTTTGCGGCAGACATGGCATGACCATTTCGATTCTCTAGGGCCGATGACATTGACATCTTCACTCGGAAGGCAAAGGAACTCAGCATATCGCATGTTACCTATGCCACTGCACAAAAAATGTGGGCAGCGATCAGTCACAAGTATGGACGTGACCATGGACTTGGTACACAGCCCTGGCTGGAGGATTCCATGCAGCCTGGTCACTTCCGGGGAACACAATATCCTGTAGGTATAATATATCAATGTCTAGTATTGTAGAAGGCTGGTGTTATATCAGAGCCTGTGGTCCATAAACCATGATGTATCACCTCCCTCACCTTTCTCGCTGCCTGTCCTGTGATGTATCACATAGACCATTGATATATTAGGCTCATCCTGTGATGTATCACCTTCAAAGCCCTTGAGGCTCGCGTGATATATCACTTTCGGTCGTGTTTGAGGGCTCGCATCATGTGATATATCACCTTCAAAGCCCTTGAGGCTCGCGTTGTAGAGACTCATGCCTCTCATGGCGTGATATGGCAGTTTCCACTAAGGGAGTATACAGCACCAACTTGCAGCACCACTCTGTGTACTGTCCACAGCAATTCCTATATGAGGCGCAGCTTTCCCGCGCAATGCGCGCCATGCGCGCACCATTCCCGCACTTGCGCGCCCTATAGTGCCAGCCATCCAGATGCATCCATCCACTGTCCACCAAGCTCCCTAGTGCGTATATTTCCATTTCCTTTATTAGCATAGTGTTCCACCTTTATTTTTATCATGGACTCTCACCCATATATATCCTTACATACCTACTCGGTAGCGCTTCGGCTCCGCATGACCGCGCTTAGGCGCGCTATATAAGCGCCAGCAGTACATACTATTACTGACTTACTTTTCACCTTACCTTACTTTACCTCCCATTTACCTATTACTACTTACTTACTACTTAGCAGAACATAGTAGATCTCTATTCATTAGCACATCACATCTCACATCTCTTATCTTGTTTTATATCATCACTTAAGCATAGTCTCTCATTTCTGCATATGCGCGCGTGCTTTCCCACGCTTCGCGCTAATATGCGCGCGTGTTCCCACGCCTTGCGCGCACTTGCGCTTTCTCGCACTTCACTTCTGCGCATACCTCTAGATCTTCGCTGCACCTGCTTCCCCTTTAGGGTCGAACGCACTTGTCCTTTCAAGTATAGCACACTAGGCAACGCATGACCTTACAACTTTTACAGATACAGTCAGGAGCCTCGTTTGTTCCTCTCAGCATTGTTATTTCTACAGCGTGATATATCACTTTCGGTCGTGTTTGAGGGCTCACGTCATGTGATATATCACCTTCAAAGCCCTTGAGGCTTGAGTGATATATCACTTTCAGTCGTATTTGGGGCTCGTGTGATGTGATATATCACCTTCAAAGCCCTTGAAACTTACATGATATATCACTTTCAGTTGTGTTACATCACCTTGGTATCACCTCACATGATACATCACTTTCAAGCCTTTTGTGAATCGTGATACATCACCTTTAAAGCTCTGGGCTCGCGTGATATATCACCTTTGGGGCTCACTGATTGATGTTTCCACCAATCACGAGCCAGGATCAAATAATTCAAATGATGTCATAGTTCTCTTGTTGCAGCCCGTCTGTTAAAACACAGACATATAGTAGATTATATATTTGCCCTCGTCATCCTCTCCATTGTAACCTCAAATCAAGTCATGACAGACACTTCAACGGACAGGGGAATGGGAGTTTGGCATTGGCAACTCAGAATGAAGATGGACTGCAAGAAGGGGAGCTTCTTGCCATGAAGGGTTGGCTGCCCACACGGATTTGATGTGTATGACCATCTGTCGACGTAGATTAGCCTGGTGCTGCGCATAAGCAAGAGCACCCTCTCCAGCCTGCAGTGAGTTAAAAGCATGCCGCGGACCTTGCATGTCCCACCAGCCTACCTGCCAGTCAAGAAATGCAATGATGCGGCGCATTTCCTCCCATAGTAGTTGCACTTCTTCCTCCCAGCGATGAGCTCGTGCTCGCGCCTTACACCATTCAACACGTAGTGCTATAAAATGGCCAGGTCAGCAAGAAGCACCAGTCGTTAGAGCCTACTTACAGTCCTGTAGCTCTAGCTCATTGCTGTTAAAGCCCGAAGTCCTCCAGATCCATGATATACTTTGTTGCCCCACCGTTCAGCCATCGTCGTGTTTGAGTGGGACGGCATCCCTTTGCTTGTCGAGTGGCTTGAGACTCCTCTCCCAGTCATCGGTCTTACCTAGCCTTGCTGCCAGATTCACGAGTGCATCTCTAGCAGTAGAATACTTAAGTGATAAGGTGTCAATGTGATGTTCAGCATTGTTGATGATTCTGTTTGCTCGGGTATTTGCTCGCTGTCCCCGAATAAAGGTGTCCTTATACTTGTAAAGGTGGTATCACAGGTTAAGCACGGTGCGGAGGTCATTCAGCGTGTCATATGCCTGAGCTTCACGCAATTCCCACTCGTGTTTGAGCAAGCGGTCGTCACATGGCACTCATTGGGGCAGAGAGGATGGCAGAAAAAGGCTGATGTTGTGGGCCTTCATTTCAGTGGCAATGTCATCTGGTGACCGCAGGCGGGAGACACTAGGCATATACAACACCTGCACCCGGGCCCAGGTGTCAATGCATCGGCGAAGAGCATTCATGCGCTGTAAGATCTTGCCCTTCTGGACATCTGTAGCGTGGTGTCCAATTGTCTTGGCATCAAAGCCAAGATGGCGCCTAGAATAGAGTCAGTGCGTGATTCAATACATCCAGAAATATACACTCAACTGCTGATCTTCGAGTTCTAATCCCGACAAAATTAACACAGAGGGTGATATATCATCGTGTAGGGACATGTTGTTGCCACGCTCAATCTCTGCAGCCTCAGCCATCGATAAGGCTAGGCGCACAGCAGCCTGAGTCATTGCTATTGAAAATGCCATCAGCTTCTCAAAATGCGTCAATATAGAGTACATGTACTAGTCATAGCTCTGCCTTCAAACAGGTTCAGTTGTGAACGGTCTGCCTCCCATGCTTCAATGTCCCTCCTCCATTCAACTAACTCATCTGCAGCTAGGGAAGCTTCAAAATTAATGAGATCGTCGACACGTTCTTGTACCTCAATTAATGCAAAGTTGTACTTTCGGTGGAAAATCAAACCTAAGAGACAGTGATACTTTAGATTCAGATGTTCAAGGCAAAAAACTTACCAATTGCACAGATCTTCTTCCAGTTCCAGTCATTGAAGTGGTCATCTAAGATGTTGCGCCTTGAACCGGGACCCATTTCACGTGTGCTTGTCACGATGGGGTTTATGTTGGCCCAGCCATGCTCGGGAGCTTCACCATCTGTGCGACCAACACCCTTGATGAAATTGAAGGAAAAGTTTGACTGACATTTGGCCACATGGGCTGGCAGGTGGAATTTCAGTATGAGAAATGTGATTGACTTTCAGTTGTGCTTGATGTGGTACTGGTGTGGGAAGGCAGACATTCGTGTCCAGAGATGTTTGCTCCATTGACAAGCAATATTGTATGAGATGTTCAATGTCGATATCTCTGATGAAGACTGCATGCTCGAGAAGAATAAATAATCCATGTTAAGGTACCTATAAGTTCTGTTGTTAGCAATACAGCAAGAATGTGGAATGTTGCGCACCTTTCGCCCTTCTGTAGGTCACCGACTGAGCAGGGCCATTTGAAATTGTGTCTTATGCAATCGATAGTACCGGCGCCAGTGGCTGCAAGGCCATGTGAGACTCTCAAATCTGCAAGGTTGACCGCGTTGTGACTGGAGCATGAACTCAACTACAGAGAGTTAGACTTAGTGCTCACGAGAAATAAAAGTTGAATTTACCTCCTGGATGACTTGCTCGCGTGAACAAATGAAATCTTTATATGCATGTTCTTCCACAAAAAATGCATATCCACGATTGAGACCCAGATCAACGATGTCTGAAGAGACATCACGGCGAGCGAGACGGAAATTGGCGTCGATGGCAAGGAATAAGGCATATAAAAATCTGGGACTGTGTGAGAAAAAGTCAGGCGGAAAGGTGGCGTTATACATACCGTATTTCGGATGGTGCATTTTCCCATCCATCTGGTAAGTTTTTGCCTGCATGGGGACACGCAGGACACAAAACGGTGCAGGCACCTGGTTTAGTTGCACCAATACCATCAGGGTGATGACTTTGACCAGCACATTTCATCTGCTTGATGAAGCGCCACTCTCGCATCATGCATAACAATGCCTCATAACGATCCTAGATTGTGATATGATAAATTGAAATAATAATAGAATTAGCACGTACCTTTGGTATATGAATTCCAGTATTGTCCGTCAAACGAGCAGCTGTTTTGTAGAATTCAAATGTGGAGACTTTGGACTCAAAAGACAGCATCTGAAAGTATTCCAGTGCCCAAAATGTTGCAGCTGTTTTCGGATCGACTGTTGTGGCAGGAAAGAGGCGAACACGTAGTAGTTGAATTATGTGCGGTTTGGCATGTGCACATCCACAAAAATCTAACCCTACTTCGTAGATGCCTTTGTAGTCGATGATAAAAAAGTCGTCGTTGTGAGCAGGGAGTGGGTTGATGCACTGAACACCAGAAGCATGTCCAAGTTGTAGACGGATCCCCATGGACTTCAAGGTAACACTGTAAAATGAGATACCATCCCATCGCTAAGTTCAAAGTGCAAAAGAGTCAGTCTATGTAAGAAATGTAAAGTATATATACATGTACCTCCATTCTATGAAGCAGATGTCTGTCATGTATGCGGATCATGCACAAATGACAAAATAATTCGCAACCATGACAATCCTGACAACAATATGTTGCTGCTTCCTCACCACAAACGCAAATGTCTTGTGAATAGTCACCTTGACCCTCCAGGCGGAGGAATTCCTCCAAAAACAAGTCGGAATCAGATCGCCATAAATGCAAGACCTCACCCTGAACCCCAGTATGTTTTGGTTTAGTGAATTCCACAAGCTCCGAAGTGTTGCTCTGAAGGTTATCAGAAAAGTCATCAATAATTGAAAGGTTGAGATCTGTGGTGTCTAACGAAACATCTGATTCTCCACGACATCATTTACCTGGAGAGTTAGTAACTGTATAGTAAGATGAAGAGACATTCAGACGTCCACTTGGTCCTGCTTCGAAACTGCTGTGCTTGCGTTGTTGAGCATTGCGAGTGTGTTGAGGTGCGTCATTTGTATCATTAATCACTGCTTTTGAAGCAGCAGCATTGTGTGCATAGACATCGCGCTGGTAGTGCTTCAGGTTTCGCCGTCTTTGACCTCCGACCATTCAAGTTCAAGTCGGATACAGTGTTATAGTAGTAAGTCAACAATTCAGTCGTGTGATGATGTAATTCTAAAAACTGCCTGATATATCAACTTAATATTGTCTGCCAACTGAGCGAGTCAGTAAGCATTGCCTCATCGTAAGCTTCAACACCCCCGTCATCTATTATTGATATGATTTCCCTCTCTACTGCAAGCCGTCTCCCCATCAAGTCAATTAGTTCCTGGCTCTGTTTCAATAAGAGCTGATAACCGGTCCCAGATGTACATCTGAGTTGTCGCACCGCTTCATGTAATTCAGTAGCATGCTCATGCAAATTCAGCACTATGATTGAGGAATCGTCCAACTCAGGGCGCAGCAGAGTCCAACCTTCGACATCTACTCTCTGAAGCACTGCAATAACACGAGATTGCATGGTGTTTGCCTCAGGAATGCTGGACCTGTACCCTAGCTTGTCACTCAATCGGTCCAAGGTGGAAAACAATGCGATGACATCCTTTTTGAAAGTGTACAATGGTAGATAAATTGTATATATAGTGTATATTGAGGGAATACATACATCATTGAAATGAGAACGTGTTTGAGACTTTGCCTGTTCTGTAGTCTTATTTCTAAAGGAAGATGAATAAAATTTATTGTGAGTATGATGATAGACTCAGAGTGATGAACTCTGACCGTTGATAATGTGCTCGTTTGCTTTGCAATCGAGCTTTGCGCTGTTCTTCTGCAGTTTTATACCGTGGTGCCATTGTGATAGCGATGGGAGACTAGTAGTTAGGCTAGTACTGTACTAGTATTACACAATAACTCACTGTACAGTTTGGTGTTATGCGAGCCTTACTTCAGGACAGATGAAATGTGCATGTACATAGGCAGCGTTCAATCCAAATAAAATGAATTAAATTCTGCACTGCGTGTTATATGTCAGTGTCACTGCACAAGTTGATAAACAGGCAAATCTAAAGCAAACCATTGCAGTAGATATTCACCAGACACGACTGCAGAATGTGTTCGGGCTGTACATTTGACAGCATGATATATCATCATTGCGCACATCAGGGAAACGTAATTCAACTCCGTAATACGGTGTTGAATTACGTTTCCCTGATGCACAAGTCTGATGATCAATCATAGCATGTAGCACATTCGGCTGGAGCGGAAAGCTTATTGTGAGGCCTAGGCTATGACTCATTGAATATGTCCTATCTGAGTGCAAAGCTTATTGTATATGATATTGCCTGCGAGGTACAGATTGTTCATTAGGGATACCCCACAATATTTTGTCAAACACATATATCCATCTGGCGATGGAGTACATAGATTGTTCGTTGGGGACACCCCACAATATTTTAGGTACGTAGTGATAAGTACGTAGCGACAAGTAGCGACAAAAACAACTACATTTACATTAAACTGTCTTGCCATTCCACATTGCCAAAGCAAGACGGAAATGCTGCATGGCTTCATGGAGGGTGATGAAGTAATGGACCGTTGTACCTGGGGCACGAAGCATCCGGGCAGTAATTCTATGTATAGTTAGATGTGTTATGGACCGGAATCAATTTAAAAAAATGCCTACATTTCGCTAAAGAGTCCTACACCAACAACACTGGTGGTTACGAACCAATTGAAATGGCTAGCAGGGTCAAGGTCAACGAGTGTCTCAGTGCTGGTGTCAGACTCCGCTTCATTATCCCCCTCATTGGAGGAGGAGGACTCGAAACCATTATCGGCAAGGACCATCTCAGAGCCAATCCAAAGATCATCAATAGAGACATCTGAGGAATTGTCCTCAATGTCTGCGGAGTTGTCATCTGAACTATTCAAAACTGTGTAATTATGAGTAAAATGAAAGAAAAAACGAAGGCGAGTTCAATGTACCCCTTTGCGCATGGACTGGACACACCTGGTCTTCAGGTTGATAAGGCCATGCGTATGGTTGAGGAGATGACGGGGAACTGTGTAAAACGTGAGGATGAGAAAATGCTTTGAGAATATCATAATGAAGACTTACCGCAACCATTCTGCACCAAGTGAATAGCCTCGATGAATTGCTCCATTGTGAAATGTGGGTGACGGAGCATCTGTACAGGTTGACTGTGGGGGCATCTGATGTTGGAGTGACTGTCATTCATGTCAAGGAGAGACAGTAGGTGTAGGGATAATCAGGGTATCAGTTCGTGTGTAAACAAATACAGTATTTGTACGACTCACTCGATGATTGGTATTGCTTGGTTTGTGAAATATATCCTGAGTCATCAAAGACGAAAAAACTTCAAGGTCGAGTAAGGACCCGAGTGACAGTTCAGTTCATTATTGCACCTGTATACAAAACCAAGTAAAAAAATCGTCAGTGAGTGACATATGAAATACGAACAAATTGATACTCACCCAACATACAGATGGCGCCTCCCAGGTGGACGAGTGCAGAACAATTAATCTGGCTGCAGAATGAGCTGCCCAACTACTTACAGATGCAAAAGGAGAAGAAACTACCTCAATTTTTTGAGTCACTGTTTCCGAGGTGGTTCAATGACTTTCCAGAAGAGATAGAGCTAAACAGCAGCCCACCTTGTGTCGAGAACGCCAGTATTGATGAACATGGTGGAGCTCTTATCAACTCCGTTAATGAAACAGCCCAGCCTAATATTATAAATGAACCTGAATCCGCCAAACAAGTATTTATAATATATAATAGTTTTTCTTGGTTAGCAATTGCGGGAATGGTTTCGGAATAATTCAAAGGGAAAAACTACACTTGGCAGTAGCTCAACCGGTAAAGCCCTATCTGCACTACTTGGCCAGCGTGCGCGAGGCACTTGAGACCTCAAAGAAGTTGAAGTGTATTCAAAACTTCACTATGTGTTACGACGTAAGTCGCGTGCGAACTGGGATGATCTAACAGCGACGATCACGACAGTGATACCTCGTGCTGAGAGTCCAAGGTCGGCTCCCACAGAAGAGTAGGAGTTGCGTACGCTTGCGGAGGCGAGCGATGATAGCGGTTACAGGCAGAAGGGGTCTCAAGTCCTTCTGAAGGTACGGATCAGATGTCGAGCAGGTAGCTTTAGCAGGACAAGGAGTTCAAGGTAAAACCCAGTAGGATTAAAGTAAGGAACATCTACTTTAATCGTCGACCTTATATAAGGCTACTCTGTCGTATCTAAGCTCAGCTTAAAGCTGGGTTCTAATCTGCTTATCTATCGAGTCAGAGATACCATGCATGAGGCAGGCTTCTATCGGTTCATGAGGCAACACGAGGCTTGCCTTCTATCTTGATAACATAAATAGGTCTTCTAGACCTATGTCATCATATCATGTAAGCGATCCAGATCGCTTACCTAATCCGGCATCTTCCGGACTTCTTCTTCTATTCGTCATCTATCATCAAGGCCTAAAGGCCCGGTTATCGTGTCGTTGCCGTGCAGGGTGGCAGAGGGCTGGTCGAGTAGCTGGGGGCTCTCGTAGTGACTGTAACATTACCCCATTACTATGCACAAAGTCACCGACTTTGATTTCTTAAACATCTTCTTCCATCGTAGCAGTAGGTGGTGCGGGAATTGCTGACGTGGAGACGGAAGGTACTGAGGGAGGTTCAGGGACAGGGGAAAGTTCGGTGGGATGCCGAAGTTCTAGATTCGCGAGTGCCTTGTGGTTATGCTCCCAATCTAAGAGAGCTTCGAAAAACTTCTCTTCATCACTAAACTCTTGGAGTACAATGCGTCCTTCGAGTCGTGGGCAGTGGACCGACAGATGGTCAGGTCCTAGTTCATCGCAGATGCAACAAACATAATCTGGACATCTTCTGAACTGATGTCCGTATCCTCCGCAGCGCTTGCAGAGCGTTCTATGGGTTCGATCTATGGTAGCCGCCTTTCTTCTCAGCGGGCGTACCGGGCGGGGTTCTTCTACAAGTGGCTTCACTTCAACTTTCTTTATCGCTAGGTCGGTGATATCGGAGAAGTCGAGGGGGAGTAAGTGAAGTGCGAAGTTTCTGATCCGCCGTTGCAGATGAAGTATAGCAAGTTTCCGAGTTGCTTCATCAAGGTCAACACGATTGGCTACATCTTCCAGCAGCTTCGTGGTTCGTATAATGCAGACGGTGAGGGATGTACACGCTGCAGTTCTGGCGTCTTGATCACCAAGGATTTCGTTGATCGCTTGGGAGTACGCGGGGGTCAGGATAGCAGCTTCATTGAACGCGCTGTTTTCCGTCATTCTGAGGACTAATCCATAGTCTGAGTCCTTCAGTGCCATTTTGATAGAGTCGTTGTCGATGGAGTTTGTCATGATGGTGATGGAGGTTCGTTGGGAGAGATGTTCAGGGATCGAGAGGGTTTATAACCTTCTTCCAGATCAATCCAAGCTCCGATTCATTCTAAACTTATCTTTATCGTTATCTCTTATCGTCTTATCTAGCCATGAGGCTAACTCGTGTTCGAGATTCTTCTTCACTATCAGAGGGAGAGTGCCGTGATAGGTACTATCATCCTTTATCTTTGTTGAAAGATCAGGTCGTCATCAGAGGGTGGTCGTCATTGCCATGATGGGTTCTAGAGGGTTCCATGGGCTTGCAGGAGTTTCCGTGGAGTTCATCTCGTGGTAGTTTAGCCTCGTTCCGGAGGTGGGGGTCCGAGCGTGGGTGCCAAGGCTTGTAGGAGTTTCTTGGTGTCGTCCAGCAGGGAGATCGTCTTCTATTACCCTTTGTTTACATATGGTCTACTCAGGTGGTCGAAGTGCAGTGATGGAGGGGTCCCGAAGCTTGCAGGAGTTTTCCGGGGTTCGTCCTTGTTCATCGTCTAGTTTTATGTCATTACGGACAATCATTAGTTTAGGGTCGTTGCGGACCTGATCTAGTTTTAGGTCGTTCCGGACCAACGTAGAAGTTGGTTGAGTTCGGGATCGGTGATCAGTGTTTGAGGTGGAGTAGGCGTGGAAAAATAAGTAAAATGGAGGATTTCACCCCCTTACTAAGCCATTAGTCACCGACTAATCATATTCAATCAGAAGTCTAGGCCAGGGAGCGGGCCGTCGTCTTCGAAGTTGTTTCCTTCTAAATCTACCATTCGCAGATCATGCGAAGAGGGTGCATCATCGTCGTTATCCTCATCATCCTCGGAGTTGTCCATGTCAATAAATCGGACAAAACTGGGCCCGGCGTCTTGTGCTTCTTTTTCTATTTCATTTTGACGATATGCTTCATGGATCGAAGCGATTCGTTCGATGAAAATATCCTGGGCTTCTTGTAACACAGGAGGGAGTTCGGTGTCAGAAGACAGCGTCATTGCTTCTTCGGAATTATGCGCGGGTGTCATGGAGAGGTTGAGGGAATTCGGTGGTTCATCGGCGGTTAAATACGCCGGTTCGGGGTCTTCCTCCATTGCGGACTCAGGACTTTCATAGAATCTGAGTTTCTTGGCAGTAGGAGGTTCTTCGATTCGGACTGCTCGTCCTTTTCCGAGAACAGATATTGGTTCTCCAGAAAATTTGAATCTCTGAGTTTTCTCTGGTTCAGGGGCCAGTCTGGGCGCCTTGGATACAGGCGGTTCTTCGTTCATTATTGCACGTCCCTTCCCAAGGACTTGTGCAGGCTCTGCCGAGAATTCATATCGGACAGGTTCATCAATCTTCATCGGCTGAACAGCCGGTACAATCGTCTTCGTTCTTGGCGATTCGGGATAGATGTGGTCAAATATCAGCGCCTGTCTGGAAGTCTTCTTCTGAGTTGTCTCCGGATCAGTGGCCGGTCTCTTCTGTTCATATCTTTTTGCTGCAAGGTCAATTCTAGGCAGCGAGTCTTTCTTCGTCACAGTTTTCGCGGGCTGTGGTGCGGTTTCTGAAGGTTCAACGGCGGTTCCATTCTGCGGTTTTTCATGGACCGGTGCATTCTGTGTTGTTCGGGCTGATGGTACAGAGCCTGAGGAGAAGGTGCGGGGGGTAGTCGGGGATACCGATTGTTTCCTTTTCAATGCTACCTTCTTATCTTCTTTTAGGAAGAGGGGCGTCTTGCCATTCTTCTTCCGATCAGAATCTATTTCTTTCTGCTTTTTTCGGGGAATCTGCGGTACTTTTGAGGGTTACCGTGCCGGTTTTCCAATTGATCAAGGGGTTCTGGCTGGTAAGCCAAGGTCGTCCAAGCAGGAACTTGTCTTTCGGACCAAGTTCAGCTAGGTAAAACCGTTCGGAAATTACCCGTTCATCGATCTGGAAAGTAAGGTTGCAAAACCTTTCTATTGGCTTCTTTCCGAAGCAGGATCCGTCAGCGTTTGAGAGTGTCAGGGGGTTCTCTAGCTGGTGCGTCAAGATGTGATGCTGCGTGATCATGTCCTGGTTGACGAAGGACTGACACGCCCCAGAATCTACGATCATGGATGTCGTGATGGGGGTACTTCTTGTTCTAGAAATCAGGGTGGCGTTCACCCGTAGATCATTCTTAGCCCCGGCCACCTTAATAGTGCGCAGGCGGGGTTCTTCTTCAATCATCTTTCTCCGTGAGGTTCGGGTCCATTGAGGACAGCTCGCGGCTTTGTGTCCAATGACGTGGCACACAAAACATTTCTTCTCTCGCAGACAGAGGCGAGTCTCCTTCCCGTTGAGATGCGCAGCGGCGAAGGTGTTTCTGGTAGTTGCCATATTGGAGATGGTTTCTACGATCTTCGTGGTATCCTTTCTTGGAGCTTTCCACAGTGACAGCTGTTCTTATATTCTTGCGACTGGTCAGGCCGGTACGATCAGGGTTCTAGATCAGGGATATGGAAATCCTTTCGGGATCTAGGTTCGGGGTTCTACGAGTGTCGGTAACTTTGACAGCAAGTGCGATCAGTTATCTTGTAGCCCGTGATGGAGGCGTACGATAAGGGAACTTTAATCCTTTGTTACGACGTAAGTCGCGTGCGAACTGGGATGATCTAACAGCGACGATCACGACAGTGATACCTCGTGCTGAGAGTCCAAGGTCGGCTCCCACAGAAGAGTAGGAGTTGCGTACGCTTGCGGAGGCGAGCGATGATAGCGGTTACAGGCAGAAGGGGTCTCAAGTCCTTCTGAAGGTACGGATCAGATGTCGAGCAGGTAGCTTTAGCAGGACAAGGAGTTCAAGGTAAAACCCA